TGCATGAGAGAGCTAGAAGAACAAAGCAGAAATGACATCCACCCAGAATGCAAGCTGGAGCGGCTCCGCCAACGCTGCACGATAAGAAGCGAAAGCATTTGGCATAAGATGCCAGTCTGAAAAAGCCAAGAGAAAAAGGACAAAACAATACGATCAGAAATGGATGACAATCTACGAAGGGAAAGGAAATGGCAAAAAGAATGCCAAGAGACTTCATACTGTCACTGAGAGGAAGACTGCAGGTGGGATGCCATCAGAGAAGCCACCTGATCACCATACAAATGGTGATACACTCACGTCAAAAACACCAAATACAAAGAGTGGAGGAGTTGGGCAAACCAGCAAGGTACCTCACTGGCCCAACCTGCTGAAAGAGGTGGAGCTGCAGAAAAACTCTCGGGTTCGGACACTGAGCAAGCAGCGCTTGAAACCAAGACTGGGCCGGCCACCATGGAGCCAGGAGAATCACTCGCACCTCGAAAGGATTCAAGCCGAGTGAAAACCCGAAGCAACAGCTAGACCGGGAAAACAAGGTAAAGGGACCCCCACCTCGACCAATCCAGTTGAAAAGCATCTACTGCGAAGGTTTCACAGTCAGGAAAGAACGCTACATACACTGGGCGGCACCGAAACCAAGCTGACACAAAGAGGCCCACGACCGGGCACACGAATGTCCAGCAAAGCCAACTGTAGGAGTCGGGGTCGACCGTCCACTCTGTGGACAGAGGAATGAACCAAAACGGGCCTTCCGCCAGAACCTTGGACGCCCCTCTCGGATGTGAATCGAATGGAGAGCACCCTGAGAACTCAGCAGATGAGCCATTGAAGTGACCAGCCCCAAAGACCCACGGACCAAAGTGACCCCCTCCCCTCCGGTTCAGACACTGAACCACTGGGGAGCGGCCCGAATGGAGCCAGATCACAGAGCCCCGAGCAAGCCGAATCCACTGTAGCGAGAGCCACACAACCGCGAAATCCCACACTCCAAAAGAACCAGAACAGCCTCCGAAGCCAAACCCGACCCAGCGGGAAAACCAGCAAGGCGAAGTTCAGACACCCCGCACAGTTGCTTGAGCAACTGATGAGTAACCCAGGACCCCTCCAAGAACAGCCAAAGGCGGGACCACAACCGAAGCAACGCCGCAGGAGGGACACAGATGCTGTCCGAGAATTCCAGACCAGGCCCAGCCAAGTCTGAACATGGCACGGAACCCAATGGAACTTCCTCCAGTTCACCAGGAAACTGAACTCAACGAGCTGGGAAGGAACCAAATCCCCGGTGAGCAGACAAACAGACTGGCTGGGAGCCCAGACTAACCAGTCGTCGAGGTAGGCCAACACCTGAACACCTAGCAGATGCAGACGGGCCACCATGACCTGGGTAAGACGCTTAAAAATGTGAGGTGACAGAATTAGCCCAAATGGAAGGCAGCGAAATCAATAAGCCTGATGCCTGCACCACAAAACCTAACCAGTTCCTGAACTCTGGATGAATAGGAACATGCCAATACGCATCCTTCAGGTCTAGGGACACCATCCAAGCATCTGGATCGAGATGAAGCTGAACCTGGAACAGAGTGGTCATCCGAAAGGAGGTGCATGGAATCCAACAGTTCAGACGGGACAAGTCCAGAATGAACCGAATATCTACGCCGTCCCTTTTCGGACCTGAAAACAAATGAGAAACCCACTTGAGGGACGAGGTCGTTTCGACCACGCCCAAGCGTACTCACTCCAGGATGACCCGACAAAGTGATGGGGAGGAAGCCTGACCCACCAGGCCCAAACCCCCCTAGAGGAGGAGGAGCCGCCCAGTGCCACCAAAGACCAGAGGACACAACCCGAAACTCCCACGAATCGAGGGACTAAGCGAGGGGCAAACAGGGCCAGCTGCCCCCCCCCCATCGCCCCATCAATGGGGCACCCTGCAAAATGGCCGATGCGACCCCCGAGAAACCGACCTCTGAGCAGAGCGACCACGGCGCCAACCAAACGAAGAAGGTCCCGGAAGAGACGCTGGCGCACCAGCTGGCACCAATGGCCCACCTTGAGCTATCGACGCCCGAGCCCTGGCACGACCACCCCAGAAAGAGCAAGAACGACCCCCAGAGCACCAACAAATCCGAAATAGGACGGCAACTTCAGGACGCCACCGCTAAAATCCAATTCACAATGTCCGTAGAAAACAACAACGGACAAAAGGGAGTCAAAAACTGAAGAGCCAGGCCCAAGCAGAGTCAAAAGAGAAGGCAAGAACAGCTTCTTGACACGCAAGGTGAGAGACAAATAACAGAGAAGCCGCCTCCTGAAGAATAGGAGCAAACAGCTTCAGCAACGCCGCCGACAACTGAGACGCCGAGACCAGCTCCCCAGTCGAAGACTCGGCACTCAGCACCTCTACATCCTCTGCAAGCCAGTCCAAAGACAGCTCCTGATGGCTAAAGAAGTGTAAGACTGAAACCAAATGACCGCAAGTACGGTTATCATCAGCAATTAAAGCAGCCGAGAGCACAGGGACCCGAGCGTGCAACTGCTGCAACCCAAGCTCACTAGAAAGCGCAGGAGCGTAAAGCACTCATTGAGAAACTCAAGAGAGCTCCCAAGAAAACCTTTAACACCAAGTAAACCTCACGTTATTCAAGCGTGCAGATACGACAAAAAACCAGGCAAAGCCCCCCCAGAGCAAAGAAAGGGCAGTCTGCAAGCCAAGAAGACCCAGGAAGACCCTAGGAACCACGTGATGCACCCAGTACAGGGAAGCAGAACAGAACTCAAGAGACCGGTTCCATAATAAAGGTAAAATCCGGGTCACGTAGGAGGTAGGCACCAAGAGCCTCCCAAACATCCACAGGGGAATCCGAGAGGCAAAAAACCTCCAGAAAGACGAATCCGAAGAACCCAAAGGAACCCGGAAATGAACCTTGGAGGGGGGGTCACCCCCAAATTAAATTCGTACATGGAAGGGGGATACGAAAACCCTGAACTCTGCAACAACCACCCATGCCCCGAAGGCACCAAAGCTCAGGCAGGGTCAAACAGGGCCCAAGAGCCCCAAACCAACTCTCCCCCATGCCCCAGATCACCCCCACCACAGGCCAAGAAGCAGAATCCACATCCATGCCCACTGACCCTGGAAGACAAGGGGTAGTCCAAGGGAAAACCCTCAAAGAAGGGGGGGTCTGTTGGCAGGACCCAGAAGCCTCGGTGGGAAAATCGGACTCAACCACCTCCGTACCCGCATCGATCAGGGCAGCCCCAGAAGCCGCCCAAGCCGTGTCCCAAGCTAAACCCCCGCCCCGACTCCGAAACCCTCAGACGTTTGGGAGATGGGAACAGGGAGGAGCAGGGCAAACCATGCCCACTGGGAAAGGAATCAGGGGAGCGGGTAAAAACAAGGTTGAAGCTACTAGCATCACCAAGTCTGGGTCCCTGAAACCAAAACGGGGCAGCTCTGGGGCATCCGAGCGGGCAACAAACCGGTGTGTTGCAACAACAAAAACCTACCATGCAATGCAGCCACTGCCTGACCCCTAAGATCTTACGAAAAACAATGGGTAATGTGAATGACGAGCAGGGGACAAGTCCCACACGACTCCGGGTCCTAGGTGTCACTAACCCAACAAGCAGCATGACGGAGGCAGAACAGATGATCGTCACGCTGAGACAAGTGCAACGAACAACCTTCAAACTCACACAAAGCGAGTGGGGACTTGAATGAAAGAAATATCTACAGAGCCCCAAGGGATTTTCCAGGTCCCGCAGGAGGAGGAATCCCGATTGAGAGCCCAGGCACAGGTGTAACTAAAGCCGGTTGAACCCCATCTAATACCGGGCAAACGAACCCCAGGACGCTGTGCGTGCAGCCTCGAGAGGTCAAGAGGAGGCCCACCAAACTCAACCTAAGCAAACCTAATCAAAAGCTAGGCAGACCTCTTCCAGGAAATAAAAAGAAAAACTTAACAACCTTTGAAAATACACCACAAACAACCAGAGGCCAGAGAGAGACATGGCTGCCGCGATTATGCTAGCTGCGCAAAACACAGTGTGCCCCAGCCAACAACACTCCCTACCCAGGGCCAGATGGAGAGCCCCACGACCTGTGCTGAACCCCAAGGGCGAGATTAATGACAAGCGATACCAACCTCAAAAGGGAGTACAATCCCGAACGTCCCAGGGAAGAAAACCCTGAACACGCAAAGGCAGTACCTACCGGGCACCCAGGGAAGGTAACCCTAGATGCATGCAGCCTGAGTACTTCTGCAACTGCATAGGGTAAAATCCAGCAATGCATTTTCTGTAAATAGGCCACTCGGTCACACACTGATAATATCCCACTCCCCTGGGACATAGCACACTCCAGCTACAGCCAGTTTGACTTTCCATCACTGGACACAACTGGAATATTTTATAAATCCCCCACCAGGCCACAACATAATGACCGATGCTCAATAATTCTCAATATAAACATCTCTGAATGACCATCAGAAGGTACTTTCCTCTGTACTCAAAATTTATTTCAAGCAATACCTGAAATTATGAAGATCACAAAATACATAAAGAGCTATGGGTTACCTGTGGATGAAACTATCATCCACAGGTAACCTATAAGCAGTATACATCATTTCGATTTCTGTATTCAAGTCATCTGACAATAATCTTCTTGATTCACTATGATTTAGATTTTTAAATGAATACAAATACACTATTCTAGTATTTCCAGCTAATGAATTTGGCAGATATAGTCCATTGTGTCAGAATGTATAGTACAAACATGAACATCGATCACTACCACAGCTTATAGTGTCAAAGAACGTACAACTACATTTAAATTATTTGCCGAAGAATTTTGTTTGCTAGGTAATATGCAACAGTTATCATATACAGGGCATCTTCATAGTCAAATAAAAGAATTAATATGAAATAAATAAGGCTTGCTCAAGAAAATATTACTAATGGAAATAATAAAGATGAAGCTGTAAGATGTACAATAAAGTTGGTATAAAGGATTACAACATCTATGGGTATGAACTAAATAACCAGACAACTAACTTGGGATTATGCCCTGGTGGATATAAGCTGTCCAGCTCTCCATACCCAGGTTCGCGTGCCTTCACCTTCTCCCACAGCAAATCAGGATGATTACACAGCTTTTTCATGCTGGTGATCGCAGCTAATGCGGTGTTGCCGAGCCGACCATCAACGCCTATAAAAGAATGAAAACTTAACAGCACAACGAAATCAAAAGACATGATGACCACTGAGAAAATTCTGAAGCCTTATGATGAGATGAGACCCATGACAAACGGCATCAATATTTTCTCAAGATTTGGTTCTGGATTTTCATTTTCTAGCATGCAGATAGGAAATGAAAATCCCACCTGAGCCAAATCTTCCCTTAACCAGACAAGTTGACACATCCCAGAAACTATCTGTTTACCGTTTCATTAATTATGAGCACTACCCTTGAGGATGGTGGCCACAACAGGAATGTCTCTAGGTAGTCATACTCAATATTGTATTTTAATATTTCATTCACTATGCCTCCCATGGATTTTCTACCTTTCCTTACACAATGTCAATTCCCTACACACCACTTTCTTCCCTTGTGCTTTATTTGTATACATTTCCCTTCCATTCTCTCAAACAACGTCTTCATATCTGACTGAACAGAGAATAAAGCATTGACAATGGCATGTAGCAATTCCAAGTTGGGTGCAGGTTTTAATGAAACATATCATCCACAAGGTCTTTATAGCCCTTGGGTGCAGAATGTCCCCGCCATTAAAGATGTTCTCAATTTGGTGCTTCTCTACATCACCACATCTCTAAAGAATTGTAAGTCTCACAGTCTGCTCTACAGCCTGTCAAATTCCCTTCTTATCATCACAAGTGTTTAACATAGCCTGCAGGCTATGGTATTCTGGTTCTCCAGAATGTTTTCCACTATGTAATTCATTATCTCACACTATTTGTTTTTGTTTATTTATATATACAAGTTGCGTTACATTCTTGTACAGCCACTAACACACACAGCGTTTCGGGCAGGTCCTTAATCCTAATTTTCCCTGGAATACGACCCGTCAAATCATTTAACAACCAGGTGATTCACTGCTCAAGGTAGTTCACTGCTGGGTGAACAGAGGCATACAGTTAAGGATTGGTGCCTAGTCTATCTTCATCTGCCAGGATACGAACCCAGGCCAGATCGCTCGCGAAGCGTGCAATTTGCCACTACATGCTTATAATCATAATGTTTCTCACAGAGGTCAAGTCACAATGATGCAGTTGAAAGTAAACATACTAACCTACACACCATATGAAGTGAAAGGAAAGTAACAACGTCTCGGCTTATCCTGGACACTTATCAAATCGAAACCAAGGCATACAGGTATATCTCAGTTTCAGCTAAATGAGGATCCAGGATGAGTCAATAAGTTGTTACTTTCCGTTGATTTCAAATATTTGGGTTCAGTTATTTATTTTATGTCTCTCCATTCAGATATCATACTTTAATATCATTTCAATACGTATCTAAAATCCAGTTTTCTCAGGTTCACTATGCCTACCAACCCTCCACACACTCCTCATTCTTACATATAAGCCCAATCTGTGGATCTTACATCAGAAAGCATGCAGATGCATCCAAGAGTCTGGCTCAACCAGACCATTAACTAGGAGGCCTGGTCAGAGGACACTGATCCTATGAATCATTTCAATGTTCAACGTATCTGTTGCACTAAATTTGCTGATATTGTCTTTTACTTACCTGAGATCTGTTTTTTAACTGCTGATGAATTGATGAACTTTAAATACATATCCTGTTGAAGGGAGGTCATGGGGCAACACACCACATGCTCGATCTTCACTGGTAGATACTTGGACAGGATGTCATTGGTGCGTCTTATGATGCATCTGTGATAAATAATAAACCACTGAAAACTTACATGAAACAAGCAATTTATAAAAAAAAAAGTTATGAGAGATATAGCCTGCCTATGCTCCTATGGATAACCAAGCAGCCAGTTCTCATATGGCAATTTCTGACATATATTAAAGGGAAAGCATGACTAATTACCTGCTGACTATAGCAATCAGTTCTTCTAACTTCTCCTTTCCAATTTCGTGATCCTTGTCAGAAGCATCGGCATCCCGGCTTCGTAATATTGCCCTCTCGTATTTCTTTCTGAATTCCTGAGCTGTTCCAAGAATTCCGGAATTGACAAAGTGCACCAGTGAAAAATATTCCAGTAGATCATTTTGGATTGGGGTTCCCGAGAGCAGAACACGACGCTTAGCTTTAAGCCCCATTAGTGCTTGATATGTCTGGTTTTCACAGTTCTTTAATCTATGGCCCTTGAGAAGGGAAGTTCTTTGTTAGAGACTGTGACTAACAGATCAACTTGCCATACTGCACCTGACAACTGACATGTATAAAAATGACATTTAACAAAATTTATACCTAAATGCATCACAAAAATTCCTGAAAATCATTTGTTAATGGAGTACAGTACAGTAACATTTGCAATGAATCAGCAGCTTGTAAAATATATATATATCAAATATTGTTTATGTCCTTACTTCATCACACAACACGAGGCCAACTTCACCCTGGTGCAGTACGTGGGCATGCATTCGGAAAGTCTCATAGGATATTATCAGTACAGGATTAACAGGACGTCGGCCATAAGTTGCCATGAATCCTTTAAGGTTCGAATCAATCTGTTCCTTGGTGCCTGAATCAATTGCTAAGGCATTTAGCTGCCCTTTTAACCATTTGTTGATCTCATTGTACCAGTTCTGAAAATGTTGCATAATATTTATTGCTAACTGTTGATTTCTTACAAATAACATGATGAGCATAATGAAATAGCAAATAGCATAATAAATCTATGAGAAATTCTTTGGAAAAATCCAATGAAATAGAACTTACATCCTGGGTGGATTTCACATTGTTGCTTTTAGCCTATCGTGGTCTGGTGGATAATGCATGCACCTGGGGGGTGACCCAGGATGTGAGTTCTTTTCCCTTTAGAGATTTTCTCAACATGACATGCGTAAAGCAAGCATTAAATGTAATGAGATACCCTTCTGGTCAGTCATCAGTGGCATCCCATTTAGTCCTACAAAGCTACTGAAAAAGCCTTAACCTTGAGGTTATCTTGAGGTGGTTCCAAAGATCAATGTGCCCATGGTCCAGTCTCTGACCAGGCCTCCTGGTTAGAGGTCTGTCAACCAGGCTGTTAAGACACCACCGGATGCAGTCTGATGTGTGAATCACACTCACGTTGATTAGGTATTCTTTGGAGGTGTTTATCAAGTTCCCTTTTGAATACTGTGGGAGGTAGGCTAGTTATGCCCCTTATGTACAGAATAGAGGGAGAATGTTGAGAAGTTTTATAATTGATAAGCAATACAAAAAAAATGTATACACAAGAACTAATACTTTCATTGAACAAAACTTCTGCAATGACTAACTTCCATAGCTTCTATAGTTGACTGAAACCTATCCTACAAATAGAAATCAATATATTATTGTTATGATAAGGAGAAAGGAGAAAGGGAGAAGAAAGCTTTCTCCTTATCAGGAGAAAGCGCTAAGCAATTATGACTACAGTATATAGCACTCGAAAGGGATATGAGGATAGGGATTTGGGATAGAATGGAGGGAAGGAATGGTGCCCAACCACATAGACCATCGCAGAGTGAATGCCCACCTGCAGGAAGCAAGGCCGTCACTGTACTAACCAGTCCAAGTGGTTTGTCTTAGTTATGATTTGAAAAATTTAACTTTTTTGTTGTATTTTTTTTTTTTGCTGTAATTAACTTAAGATAATTTCAAACCAATCAGGAATGTAAATTTAAATGAAGTTACATGACATGACCATCACATATTATAATAATATTACTTAATTTATAAGATATACAAATGCTGAATGGAGCAACCACTAGTTTTGTCTACAGTAGGTCAAGACTCCAAACACCATCTCAGGAGTTGCCACATGACAGTAATGCAACTTGCCTTTACTAAGCTGGAGGGAGCAACCACTACAGTCTTATCTATGCTGGGTCGAGAGTCTGGGCCCTGCCTCAGCAGTGTCCACATCAGGGTGATGCACTGTAGAGTCTTCCCCAACCCCATCTCATCAGCCATAATACACCCATAATTTTCTTCTATTTGTTTCCCTGTGACACAGTCGTACATAAATTTGACACCCTGGAAAGCAATATATATCGATAAAATTGATGCATCACCGAGCCTCTCATCGCAGTAATGATTTTATCCAATTTACATACAAAAAAAATTAAAAATACTCCACAAACACAAAAAAGCTTCATCCATTTTTACAATACTGTACATAATAAAATTATTTGTCAACACTCCACAAAATATTGTATTACTATAGGATCTACTGGAAATTTATAATACAGACAGTACATTCAAGCACATTTAAAGGCAATTACATGCCCACCGGAGGTTTCCAAAAGTACTTTCTTTTCGGCAATGTATAATGAGCCAATTTATCTTATAGCCCACAAACATTTTACCGATGTATTAAATCATCATAACTAATTATACAGAATTTAAGTTGAAGCTAAGAGTTAATGCCTACTGACCTCACGCTGGTGAGGACGTAGAACAGCTGCTAGCATTGGATCCACAACAACTGCTACTTCTTGCTTCTCTCTATAAACATTAAAGACCTTATACAATTAAATTTCTTCTCATTGACATAGATGAAGGTGAGTTGCGTTGCATAATGTATGAAGAGAGACAGAGAGAGAGAAGGTAATTAAGAGGAAAAAGAACTAAGCCAGAATAACTATAGCACTTTGAAAGAAGGTATGAGGGCAATGAGTTGGAATATGAGGACAGTCCCAACCACTTGGACCATCAGGAATTGATACCCAGCCTAGCAAGAAGTGAGGTCTTCACTCTACAGACCAGTCCAAGTTGATGGGTAGAGGGAGAAAAAGAAAAACATTTAAACAAACGGTATATGGTATGTAACGTAAAGAAGAGCACCGACATAGATGGACCTCACAAATAATTGAAATACTGTAAATAATAAACTTGACAAAACGAGATGAAAATTAACAGAAAATTACATCATGCAAAATAAAAAAAATATGAAAAAGTCCACCGAAGTGCTATGTACCCACAGGTTGGTTGTAAGCTTCTCGTGTGCAGACAAGGTGGCAGGACGAAAGAGAACCAGAGCATTTGGTTCATCTGGATCATGAAGTGGTCGTCGGACACCATTCCGGCGAACCCCCAGGCTACGAAATCCTTGACTTATGTAATTAGGGATGGGAATCTTGAATGGCTTGGCGAGAATTGTCCGGATAAAGTTCTCCTGATAAAATATAAGTCTTTTAGCATTCAAGTTGATTAATTAAATATTTAATCCGTCAAAATGCATATGAATGTTATAATACTGTAATGTAGAAAGTACAGTACACCTAAGAAAATATTTTTGTGAAATATTAAAGTTATCTAAAAATATTACTGTACAGTATTTCCAAAATTTGTCATAATAATTAACTGATTTAACTTAGAATCAAATTGATTTATGTGGTTACCTTTAAATTAATGAGCCCTTTATTCTGTGTAAGAGATGCAATTGTGGGAAACCTAAAGCATACTAAACTTGTACAAATTGCAATGGAATATATATCAAGTACTGAGTATAATGACATGCCCTCTTCTCGTTGGGCCCTCAGTAGCTCCCTAAGCTAAGCCTCAGGACAGGAAGGCCTCCAAGACCCACCCAAAAAAGAACAAGGTCTAGAATCTGGCTCTTTACAAGGCAAAAATCCACCACAAAGCATAATGAAGCAACTGCTCGAAGAAAACAAGGTAGAGGTAAAAAGGCAAATGATCATTGCCACAGCATAAACACCCTAACCGTGATGACTACATAGTCTTCTCTGGCTTGATGCCTTCTTTTGATAATTACTTGACCATGATGCATCTGACTGCAACCAGGTGGCAGCCATGGTCGCCTGAGGCTCCAGTAAGCCTATCTCTTAAGTCACATGTCACCCAAAATGAACTCCTCCACCCCAATGGGAAAGGGGAGTTATTAAGGGACCCACCAGCAAGGGGATTTCATTACATTTAACACTTGACTTCTAAGAGGGCACCTTCAGGGGCGCAGCCTGAGCTAACTCACAAATGGTGCCTCGGTGCCCCTAAGTGTATGCAAAAAGTTCAAATGGATAATTGGCCACTTATAAATAAAGTTATTAATTGCCTTCTACAGAATCCTATTGAGAATGAGTGTCAGGCTAGAGTGTGGGGGGGGGGGGGTGATAGTTCACCAGAGCCCGAAGGAGCTCAGCCTGCCATCTGGTTGCAGTTGTGAATTTTGTTTATATGGTGTTCCAGTAGTTTCAGTTTCACTTGCATTTGACAGTTACCCAATTATCATTCTCTGAGGAAGTTATGTTGAATGACTCTCTGTCAAATACGTATCCTTCACCCAAGTAGTAGCATTGATCTTTGAGCTCTATATGCTTCCTACACCACTGAAGAGGCAAGTCAGTATAAAATAGCACTTGCTCCTCGTGGAATAATATACAGTAGTCACAGAAGCCTGGCAAATTATTTATGACCTTCAAGTGACAGCGTAATAAGCTAAGGAAGCTACCTAGAAATAACAGCTTAAATAATTACAGTATTATGGTATTAGTAAATTAATTAGCGGCAATATTGCCAGCCATAACTGTTACTAAATATAAAAAATACAGTACTGTACTCTACATGCAAAACAATTTTGTTAAAAAAATCTACTAAAAATAATGCACCATCCAAGAGATCATCTTACGTGGGAAGACGCTGTTCCTGCTGGAGTGACCGAAGGAGTGTTTACAATTGGTAGAAGAGGAGCCCTATATGGAGAAATAGGCAGTCCTGGTCCCTCCACCTCTGACGCTTTTCGCTTCTTAGATTCTGAATGGCCAATGGCCACTTGAGGACCAACTGCGAATCCATTGTCAAAGTTCCGCTTGAGTAACTGACTCGGGGCATGGCTGCGGCGCTGTCAAATAATAACAAATAAGAGTTGTATCTGAATATACAGTGTAATTTTATGCAATCTTACAATGTTCTTTCTTTGATAAGCTAACACTATTTTAGATCATACAACACATTTACATATTACAAAACTTAGATGATTACTGAATCAACTAAATAGAAAAGGCACAAGATTTTAGTATTTACCATTGTGATACAGCTTTCCTCAGCTACTGAAACAACTCCCTATCACATTGCACACAGATCTGCAGCTTTTATTGGCAATTCCTTCCATTCTGCATATTGATTTCACTTATGTGTAAAAGTTACTTTACAATTGATATCCTGGAACAACAAGAATTGCATAGATAAGGGAGAAATATTAGTTATTGTACACTGATGCCCAATAAAGATCTAGTCCCACACAGGCACCCGCAGATCTTGCACCAGCATAGGACTTGCTCACAAACCCATCACTCATCACAAGAATTCATCGATACACCAAGAAACCTATTACTTACTTCCACAGGTATACTATTAATTTTGTTGGACAAATTGATAAGAGCAATTAACATATGAAATTTAATACTTTGTCAGCAATAAAGTTATTTTATATGCTACATTATATATGTACAGTACAGTATACATATAACTTTCAAATAAAATAAAACCATACCACAGTACAGTATTTCAAAAATCAGTGAGACTACATAACTACCCACCAATAACCCTAGCTACTATGTAGCTGGATGAAAAGAGACACAGCTTGTAAATTTCTAGCTTAGGTAATCTGGTGTTGAACTGATTAGTTCAAAGAGGGCCAAATTATATGTTATTCTACCTCTTTACAATTCTTTAGACATACATATTATACATTATTTTATATATATATATATATATATATATATATATATATATATATATATATATATATATATATATATATATATATATATATATATATATATATATATATATATATATATATATATATATATATATATATATATATATATATATATATATATATATATATATATATACATATATATATATATACATATATATATACATATATATATATACATATATATATACATATATATATACATACATACATACATACACACACAGAGTCAAAGGTGTTTAATGTCATTGATGTCATCAATTTAACTCTGAAGACCATTGTGTATACTGCTGGTTGAACCAGTGAAGTTACTGACACTTAGGTAATGTTACACAAGTCAACAGCCACCTTGAAATACTAAGATATTAAAAATAATACCTTAGTATTTTACAAATCATTTTAACAATTTCAAATCTTATTCATATATATGACATTATGAGTTAATTATATCCAGAGCAAATTTACTCATTATCTTCCCAATTTGGGTATTGATCAAGTTTCCATCTAGGCAACTTGGATAGTGGTAATTCCTCGTCGCGCCAGCTTGGATTTTGGGCAAGTACTCATCTGGGTAGCTTCGATATTTGCCAAGTCCTAGTCTGAGCAACTTGGGTATTGGGCAGGATCTCGTCCGGGCAGCTTGGCTAATGAGCAAGTCCTTGGCTGAGCAACTTAGGTATTAGCTCAGTCCCTAGTCTCACAGTGCCAGGCACTAATAAACCTTTCTGATCACCTTTGGCACATTTTGACTCAGTTGGTAAACAATTTTGGCGGGCAATAAACGACATGATATAAAGTTTCCTCAAATAAGTTAACAAAATCGTTTTATTTGAACTATATGAGGCAAGAAATAAGGTGCTTGTAAATTTTAACGGTGCTCTTTTGTTATTCTTATATTCAATCCTATATATGGTCTTTGTTTATGTTTTTAGCGGCGCTTATACACTAAATATTTGATACACTACATTTCAACTTTTGACCAAATAATACAACTACCTTATTTATTATCTGTAATATCAAAACAAATTAAATTAACATATTTCATAATGCTACTTTTATTGCCTTTTTAAACTAATGAAGTCTTTATGGAAGCAAAAAGGCTTCTACCGATTAATATCTTAATTAAGTGTTGGATAATCAATCAACAATTTTTTTTACTATACTCACCTCATTGTACTCACCTAACTGTACTTGCTAGGGTTGAGCCTCGACTCTTTGTTCCCGAATCTCAACTCTTAATCAACAGCAGGTGTACAAGTTCCTGAGCCTATTGGACTCTACTATATCTACATATGAAACTGTGTATGTAGTCTGCCTCCACCATATCACTTTCAAATGTATTACATTTATTGACTACTCTGATAGTGAAAAAATTTATTCCTTTTGTCTGTAAAAAAAAAAAACTGAATCCCCTTGCCGGAGTACCACCACTATGTTCAGTTATGGTTTTAATTAGGAACTCTGCACCTACTATACAGTGTTACAAAAATATTATCTTGTTTGAATGGATTAGTGCTTTTGTTACCTCTTCCTGTAATGTATAACAAAAGATCATATCTATTAATAAACTAAATCTCGTTACAAGAAAATAGTAAAGTAAGCGCCCAATTCGTCTGTGTGGAGCAAAGCCGTCGCACGTTATCAGCGTTCACGCTGTCAGCGACGAAAATGATCAGAAATCTTAAAGCCGTAGACGGCAAGCAATTACTTAGCTTAGAGGCTGTTGTGGTCCCGTTTTAGCCCCATAATGGTATATAAGACTGTGGATTTATACATTAAACTGTGTAACTAACTTATCAAGATTGTAAATTGTTTAACTAACTAAATTTGGGGGATCAGTTCCTGAGTCCATTATGTACCCCTGGAACATTTTCCACTACTGTCCACAGAATGGGTATGTGGGGACACTACCGAGCGCAGATGATGATAAGAGTATGGGGTCTACTACCTCTCACAGGATGGGTATGGGGTTTATTGCCTCTCACATGATGGGTATGGAGTTTACTACCTTTCACAGGATGGGTATGGGGTTTACTACCTCTCACAGGATGGGTATGGGGTCTACTTCTTTCCACAGGATGGGTATGAGATCTACTACCTCTCACAGGATAGATATGAGGTCTACTACCTCTCAAATGATGAGTATGGGGTCTACTACCTCTCACGGGATTGATATGGGGTCTACTACCTCTCACAGGCTGGGTATAGGGTCTACTACCTTTCACAGGATGGGCTACCATGCACTTATGAGTGGGTATGAAACCATTACCAAGTCACACGTTCCGGTCAATATATTAATCAATATATCATTGCCATCAATAGTTTGCGTAAGAAATATGATAATAGATATGTAATTAATACTAAAAATTGAATAGTCCTACTATATATTTCTTTTAACAACTCTGTTCAAAACTGATAACAATATCCTGACTATGCAGAGCTAAGTCAACTCTAATACCAGGAAGGGTTGAGGGGCCACAGGACTAACATTGTAAACCAGGCATGTAAGGGTGGATCTAATCGACACTTTTCAAATAGTGAATAATTTAGAGGATGTTAATCCGGACAATTTCTTCAAAAGTTCAGATGTAACACAAACAAGGAGCAACGGTGTCAAGCTCAACAAGCCACAATATGTAGGACTGAGAACAGGAGATGTTTTTTCACCCCCAGGGTTATCAACCCCATGGAACCGCCTACCCGCCGAAGCCGTAAATGCCAAAACTGTTAAATTTTAAAATTCAGCTGGACAAAATCATCAGGATAAATTGGGGGAACTTTGACAAGCCGCTAGCTTCCTGTCCTCGTCGATGTCACTAGAGAGATAGTGGCCCTCAGGTAAATTCAGGTAAATTATGAATAGGAGTGTATATGAACAGTATTGTATAGTGTATTATGAATAGCAGTGTATATAGTGTATTATGAATAACAGTGTATATAGTGTATTATGAAGAGTTGTATATAATAACGTATAGTATGTATTTGAGTGTTAACTTTCCATCGCCACTTACTGGATAAGAATGGGATGCGTTCTCGACTCACAATTGGGGGATCCCGGGTTCGAGTCCTGGGCGGGACAGAAATGGTTGGGGACATTTTCTTTCGTCTAATGCACTATTCACCTAGTAGTAAATAGACACCCGGAAGTTAGACAACTGTTGTGGGGTTGCATCCATCCTGGGGAGAGTCGAAGTACGCGTTTGGGGAAATGGGGGGAGGGGGGAGGTACCTCCATGCAATCCTAAAGAGTATATATATGTACAGGCTTTCTGTCCCCGAGAAGGTGAATTAATTCAAGCATATCCCGGGTGGGACAGAAATGGTTGGGCGCATTTCCAATCACCTAATGCCTCCATCCACCTAGCAGTAAATAGGTACCCAGGAGTTAGTCAGCCTTTTGTGGGGTTGGGTACTGGGTATACACTACTGTTTTTTTTTTTTTTGAGATATATACAAGAGTTATTACATTCTTGTACAGCCACTAGTACGCGTAGCGTTTCGGGCAGGTCCTTAATCCTATGGTCCCTGGAATACGATCCCCTGCCGCGAAGAATCGTTTTTTCATCCAAGTACACATTTTACTGTTGCAGAGGCTACAGTTAAGGAATTGCGCCCAGTAAATCCTCCCCGGCCAGGATACGAACCCATGACATAGCGCTCGCGGAACGCCAGGCGAGTGTCTTACCACTACACCACGGAGACTGCCGAAGACTGCCGAGACTGTTCTATGCTTGTAGTACTGTGCATTATAGTGCTCATAGCACTACAATGTGCTGCTACCCTATTCTATATGAAAGATTGCAATTTATATGAAAGATTAAGAAGTATAGGTAAAAAACTAGCTATACGTTCATTTTAATATACGTTTAATATAGTGTAACGTACGATTATGTTACGTTGTTGGGTAGATTAGATACACAGTGTTTAGTGAGTTTCATATTTATTTAGTAGTCCTGGATACAGCAGTGTCGTAGACGTTAAGACGGAGCTTGGAGCAGAGCAGAGAGCTGAGTGAGGCCGGAGTCGCGGAGCTCTATGTGGGAGTCCCGGAGCTCTATGTGGGAGAGTCCCGGAGCTCTATTTGGGAGAGTCCCGGAGCTCTATGTGGGAGAGTCCCGGAGCTCTATGTGGGAGAGTCCCGGAGCTCTATGTGGGAGAGTCCCGGAGCTCTATGTGGGAGAGTCGCGGAGCTCTATGTGGGAGAGTATTGAAGCTGGATGCGGTCCTAGTCTGCTGCCTGTTCTGTGTCGAAGCTGTGGCGTCTTGGAGACGATTAGAAAACTGTCTACGCCGAGTGCTACATTGTCGACTGGAGATTGTACTGTTGTCTATTCGATTGATTGATAAAGATTAAGCCACCCAAAAGGTGGCACGGGCATGAATAGCCCGTAAGTTGTCTATTCTCATATCGCTTCCTTATATTTGGTGACTACCCCTCACCTTTCTCTACTAGGATAGGAGGATGTGAGAACTGTTGCCTGTAATTAGGGATAGGATTATAGCTTGTGTAGTTAGTGCTAATTAGTTACGCCATTAAGATAATGAGATAATGGAGCGAGTATAAGGATTACTCGCTACAATAGTAATTCGACCCTCGGAGGGACTTTGATAAGTATAACCTGGCTGCCTGTCTCCCCGACACGATGAATTATGAAATAAATAAATAAATAAATAAATAAATAAATAAATAAATAAATAAATAAAAATGTTATGTGACCGACGCTGAGACAGTTTGCTACCACAGCACAACAGGATCTTGTTGGCTGGGAGCGTTCGCCGCCGCGTCAGCACTCTCGAATTAGCCCGTGTGAGCGCCGAGGCTCAGGGGGGAAAGTCCTGGTCATGGACTGGAAGGAAGGCCAAGGAGCAGTAGGCCCTGGCCAGGTTGTGGGGCCGGGGCAGGTGACAGGAGAGGCGCAGGCGGCCATCCCTGCAGGTCTAGAGGCGCTCTACGTGGCGTGTCGGGCCATCTACCCCGATCAACCCAATCCACTCCAAGTCACCGCCCTTGTCAAGTATTGGTAATGAGTGCCAACCTTATCCTTATTAATACTCTAATATTGCTTTTATGTGTGTGTGTGTGTGCTTTATTAACTTGCTTTAAGTATTTGGTTAATTGTCATTGTTGTATTTTTGGCTTTGTCAGCCGCCCTAAATGGAATTTACCTGAATTGACCTGAGGGTCACTCTAGGGGCCTCGCCGAGGACAGGAAGCTGGCAGCTTGTCAAAGTCCCCACCCCCATTTGTCTGGATTATTTTATCAAGCTGGATTCTAAATTGCAGCAGTTTTTTTTTTTTTTTGGCATTTACCGCTGGAGTGGGTAGGCAGGGGGGGCGGGGGTGTGCCTGCCCGGCACTGCTGTAGCTCAAGCATAGAAGGGGGGGAAGGGAACTATCAGGAGAAAGTGCCAAGCCATTGTGACCATATAGCACTGGGAAGGGGTTAGGATAAGGATTTGGGATGGGACGTGGTAGGGAAGCAAGGGACGGTCCCCAACCACTTGTGGACGTTGGACGGTCGGGAATTGAACGCCAACCTGCTTGAAGTGAGACCGTCGCTCAACCGTCCAGCCCAAGTGCGTCGCTCAACCGTCCAGCCCAAGTGCGTCGCTCCTTGTTCATGTTGCATCAGACCTCTTGAAGTACTAGTCTAGATCACTATCCTCTGTCCCTGCCCCTATTTGTCAAATATATGCTTTGTGTCACTTGATGTCTTGGACTTTTAAATCATGGCAACGTTAAAAAAAATCAGATTTAGCTGGTATATAAAGGGTGGCTGTTAGTTATTTGTCGCTACTTGGATTCGTACTTTGACATTCGTGTTTTGTTAAATGTAAATTATTGCATTAGTGAAGACCAATAGCAAAGTACTGTAGTTGAATAATAATTACAGCTGCTGCACCTTTATATAAAGGGAAGGTCTTATGCTTTATTATCTGGGTACATACTGTACACCCAATTATGAAAAGTTAGGTTTTGTTAGATTTAGTAGATAATCACGTTGCTGCTATTGCTGTAGTATTGCTTTTGCCGTATAAAACAAGGTTTTATAAAAAATAACATTTGAGGCTGAAATAGTTTACCTCTAAGATTATCATTTCAGTACATAGCAGTATAATTAGCCAATTATAGTTTTCAGTATGCAATTGTTACCTGCCTTATCATCTGACTGGCAAACACACCACTTAACCTAACATGTGTTGACAACATCCCCAAGGGCCGCTGTGCTATCTGGATGAAGGATTAATTTGGTTAGAATTCTCGATTTTGAGTAAACCGGTGTTTGGATGGTTTTGACACTGGCTTTTGACAATGTGAAACTTTAAACTTTTCCAAACAGAATTACAGAGAAGATCTTTACCATACAGTATTTTGTTTCATTATCCACTTGGATACATGTGACATGTCTGCATATTCTGTGTATAAGAGTGGGTGCATTTTCTTTGCACAAAATATCTACATTTCCTTTATATGAGACAGGAAGGTTTTTTTTTTTTTTTACTCTGTGCCTTCCGGTCCACTCGTTGCAGTGGTTTTACTTCTCAAGTTTCTTTTGCCTTGTTGCACGTTTCATGTGTAGCCTTCCGGCTATTTTTCCCGTGCTGGGCCTTGCAGCGTTTGTAGGAAATTCGAGTATACCTCAGATATATGCAGTGTACCTGGGATATATGCAGCACTTGACCATTCCCCAGGATGCCACCCACAACAGTTGACTAACACCAAGGTTCCTAACTACTGCTAGATGAACAGAGGCAATGGGTGTAAGAAGGCTTGCCCATACATCTCACCCTGCCTGGGATAACATTCCTAGGCAGAACCTGCTGTTTCCTTTGTACGAGAAGTAGAGGAGCTGCTGTTTCTTTTGTACGAGAAGTAGAGGAGCTGCTGTTTCTTTTGTACGAGAAGTAGAGGAGCTGCTGTTTCTTTTGTACGAGAAGTAGAGGAGCTGCTGTTTCTTTTGTACGAGAAGTAGAGGAGCTGCTGTTTCTTTTGTACGAGAAGTAGAGGAGCTGCTGTATCTTTTGTACGAGAGGGAGAGGAGCTGCTGTTTCTTTTGTACGAGAGGGAGAGGAGCTGCTGTTTCTTTTGTACGAGAGGGAGAGGAGCTGCTGTTTCTTTTGTACGAGAGGGAGAGGAGCTGCTGTTTCTTTTGTACGAGAGGGAGGGGAGCTGCTGTTTCTTTTGTACGAGAGGGAGGGGAGCTGCTGTTTCTTTTGTACGAGAGGGAGAGGAGCTGCTGTTTCTTTTGTACGAGAGGGAGAGGAGCTGCTGTTTCTTTTGTACGAGAGGGAGAGGAGCTGCTGTTTCTTTTGTACGAGAGGGAGAGGAGCTGCTGTTTCTTTTGTGCGAGAGGGAGAGGAGCTGCTGTTTCTTTTGTGCGAGAGGGAGAGGAGCTGCTGTTTCTTTTGTGCGAGAGGGAGAGGAGCTGCTGTTTCTTTTGTGCGAGAGGGAGAGGAGCTGCTGTTTCTTTTGTGCGAGAGGGAGAGGAGCTGCTGTTTCTTTTGTGCGAGAGGGAGAGGAGCTGCTGTTTCTTTTGTGCGAGAGGGAGAGGAGCTGCTGTTTCTGTTTTTTGTGCGAGAGGGAGAGGAGCTGCTGTTTCTTTTGTGCGAGAGGGAGAGGAGCTGCTGTTTCTTTTGTACGAGAGGGAGAGGAGCTGCTGTTTCTTTTGTACGAGAGGGAGAGGAGCTGCTGTTTCTTTTGTACGAGAGGGAGAGGAGCTGCTGTTTCTTTTGTACGAGAGGGAGAGGAGCTGCTGTTTCTTTTGTACGAGAGGGAGAGGAGCTGCTGTTTCTTTTGTACGAGAGGGAGAGGAGCTGCTGTTTCTTTTGTACGAGAGGGAGAGGAGCTGCTGTTTCTTTTGTACGAGAGGGAGAGGAGCTGCTGTTTCTTTTGTACGAGAGGGAGAGGAGCTGCTGTTTCTTTTGTACGAGAGGGAGAGGAGCTGCTGTTTCTTTTGTACGAGAGGGAGAGGAGCTGCTGTTTCTTTTGTACGAGAGGGAGAGGAGCTGCTGTTTCTTTTGTACGAGAGGGAGAGGAGCTGCTGTTTCTTTTGTACGAGAGGGAGAGGAGCTGCTGTTTCTTTTGTACGAGAGGGAGAGGAGCTGCTGTTTCTTTTGTACGAGAGGGAGAGGAGCTGCTGTTTCTTTTGTACGAGAGGGAGGGGAGCTGCTGTTTCCTTTGTACGAGAGGGAGGGGAGCTGCTGTTTCTTTTGTACGAGAGGGAGGGGAGCTGCTGTTTCTTTTGTACGAGAGGGAGGGGAGCTGCTGTTTCCTTTGTACGAGAGGGAGGGGAGCTGCTGTTTCCTTTGTACGAGAGGGAGGGGAGCTGCTGTTTCTTTTGTACGAGAGGGAGGGGAGCTGCTGTTTCCTTTGTACGAGAGGGAGGGGAGCTGCTGTTTCCTTTGTACGAGAGGGAGGGGAGCTGCTGTTTCTTTTGTACGAGAGGGAGGGGAGCTGCTGTTTCCTTTGTACGAGAGGGAGGGGAGCTGCTGTTTCTTTTGTACGAGAGGGAGGGGAGCTGCTGTTTCTTTTGTACGAGAGGGAGGGGAGCTGCTGTTTCTTTTGTACGAGAGGGAGGGGAGCTGCTGTTTCTTTTGTACGAGAGGGAGAGGAGCTGCTGTTTCTTTTGTACGAGAGGGAGAGGAGCTGCTGTTTCTTTTGTACGAGAGGGAGAGGAGCTGCTGTTTCTTTTGTACGAGAGGGAGGGGAGCTGCTGTTTCCTTTGTACGAGAGGGAGGGGAGCTGCTGTTTCTTTTGTACGAGAGGGAGGGGAGCTGCTGTTTCTTTTGTACGAGAGGGAGGGGAGCTGCTGTTTCTTTTGTACGAGAGGGAGGGGAGCTGCTGTTTCCTTTGTACGAGAGGGAGGGGAGCTGCTGTTTCCTTTGTACGAGAGGGAGGGGGAGCTGCTGTTTCCTTTGTACGAGAGGGAGGGGAGCTGCTGTTTCCTTTGTACGAGAGGGAGGGGAGCTGCTGTTTCCTTTGTACGAGAGGGAGGGGAGCTGCTGTTTCCTTTGTACGAGAGGGAGGGGAGCTGCTGTTTCTTTGTACGAGAGGGAGGGGAGCTGCTGTTTCCTTTGTACGAGAGGGAGGGGAGCTGCTGTTTCTTTTGTACGAGAGGGAGGGGAGCTGCTGTTTCTTTTGTACGAGAGGGAGGGGAGCTGCTGTTTCCTTTGTACGAGAGGGAGGGGAGCTGCTGTTTCCTTTGTACGAGAGGGAGGGGAGCTGCTGTTTCCTTTGTACGAGAGGGAGGGGAGCTGCTGTTTCCTTTGTACGAGAGGGAGGGGAGCTGCTGTTTCCTTTGTACGAGAGGGAGGGGAGCTGCTGTTTCCTTTGTACGAGAGGGAGGGGAGCTGCTGTTTCCTTTGTACGAGAGGGAGGGGAGCTGCTGTTTCCTTTGTACGAGAGGGAGGGGAGCTGCTGTTTCCTTTGTACGAGAGGGAAATGATAATATATAAACAATAACTAGTTTTGTAAAGAGGGTTTAGATTGGGTTCTATTTAAATTATTATATATTAAAATAAAATTCATGCTATATTATTATTTATGCTATTTGTCTCTGATATGCTAACCTGTAAAAATAAAATATATGCAGTTCAAGGTGAAACATCTATTAAAGTCTTATGTACTGAAATTACCTAATGACTTGTATTGCAGGTTGGGCGGACCAGACCCTCTTGACTACATTAGTATGTACGCCAACCCAGGAAATCCTAAACTAAACATTCCTTCTCATTGGCACTATGTCAGGTACGATGTGATTGTTTTCGTAGTTAAACATTTAAAGTATGTTTGGTTATTTTGTTTATATGTTTAAAATCCTTGATGTAAGACTAGATAAAGGTCCAGGACAGAATGGAATGACTGGTAAGTATCTGTGTCCAGAATGGTCCAAAACAAATTTATGAGGCTCCATGAAAGACAGAAGCATCTTGATGAGTGTCCAGTGGACAAAAGTGTCTAGAAGTGTCCAGCAGATGGAAGCGCCTTGGTGATGGTCCACGGCGGACGGGGGTGCCTTGGTGAGTGTCCACGGCAGACGGGACACCTTGGGGAGTGTCCACGGCGGACGGGGGCGCCTTGGTGAGTGTCCACGGCAGACGGGACACCTTGGTGAGTGTCCACGGCAGACGGGACACCTTGGGGAGTGTCCACGGCAGACGGGACACCTTGGGGAGTGTCCACGGCAGACGGGACACGTTGGGGAGTGTCCACGGCAGACGGGACACGTTGGGGAGTGTCCACGGCAGACGGGACACCTTGGGGAGTGTCCACGGCGGACGGGGTCGCCTTGGCGAGGGCCCACGGCGGACGGGGTCGCCTTGGCGAGGGCCCACGGCGGACGGGGTCGCCTTGGCGAGGGCCCACGGCGGACGGGGGCGCCGGCGAGGGACGGGGGCGCCTTGGCGAGGGCCCACGGCGGACGGGGGCGCCTTGGCGAGGGCCCACGGCGGACGGGGGCGCCTTGGCGAGGGCCCACGGCGGACGGGGGCGCCTTGGCGAGGGCCCACGGCGGACGGGGGCGCCTCGGCGAGGGCCCACGGCGGACGGGGGCGCCTCGGCGAGGGCCCACGGCGGACTCCAAGGGGGGCGCCTCGGCGAGGGCCGGACCAACCGGGCGGCGGGCCCGCTCCAAGCAACAGCCTGGTGGGCCCAACTCTCACAAGTCGAGCCCTGGCCTTGGGCCGGGCGAGGGGGCGGACGGGGGCGCCTCGGCAGAACCCACGGCGGACGGGGGGCCTCGGCGAGGGCCCACGGCGGACGGGGGCGCCTCGGCGAGGGCCCACGGCGGACGGGGGGCGCCTCGGCGAGGGCCCACGGCGGACGGGGGGCGCCTCGGCGAGGGCCCACGGCGGACGGGGGCGCCTCGGCGAGGGCCCACGGCGGACGGGGGCGCCTCGGCGAGGGCCCACGGCGGACGGGGGCGCCTCGGCGAGGGCCCACGGCGGACGGGGGCGCCTCGGCGAGGGCCCACGGCGGACGGGGGGCGCCTCGGCGAGGGCCCACGGCGGACGGGGGGCGCCTCGGCGAGGGCCCACGGCGGACGGGGGGCGCCTCGGCGAGGGCCCACGGCGGACGGGGGGCGCCTCGGCGAGGGCCCACGGCGGACGGGGGGCGCCTCGGCGAGGGCCCACGGCGGACGGGGGGCGCCTCGGCGAGGGCCCACGGCGGACGGGGGGCGCCTCGGCGAGGGCCCACGGCGGACGGGGCGCCTCGGCGAGGGCCCATGGCAGAGGGGATTTGGGGGAGGGGCCCGTGGCGGACGGGAGCGCCAATTTTGGGGAGGGCCCGCTGCGGACGGGAGCGCCAATTTTGGGGAGGGCCCGCGGCGGACGGGAGCGCCAATTTTGGGGAGGGCCCGCTGCGGACGGGAGTGCCCGCTGCAGACCAAAATGTTATTTTCATTTAACCCTCAAACTGCGCAACATGTTATATGATGTATAGAGTAACTAATCCAAAAGTGCGCATCATGTCATATGACTTGTTGGAGTACTACACAAGATTTAAATGGCCCGCGGATACACGGGGTTCACCTCATCTTCATCATGGCTCTTGTAAACAGACGCCATTTAAAAACAAATTGTGGGCAACATTCCCGGGTGTGAAGGGCCTCAGTACTGAGTGAGCCACGAAGGCTGATGCATGCAGCATGACCTCACAGCACTGCTGTTCAGCATGTGACCACAGCATCGTCTAAAAATGTCAAAATATATATGTACATGCGAAGGCGCTCCCGTCCGCCGTGGGCCCTCACCAAGGCGCCCCCATCCGCAGTGGGCCCTCACCAAAGCGCCCCTGTCCGCCGTGGGCCCTCACCAAGGCGCCCCCGTTCGCAGTGGGCCCTCACCAAGGCGCCCCCGTTCGCAGTGGGCCCTCACCAAGGCGCCCCCGTCCGCCGTGGGCTCTCACCAAGGTGCCCCCGTCCGCCGTGGGCCCTCACCAAGGCACCCCCGTCCGCCTTGGGCCCTCACCAAGGCGCCCCCGTCCGCCGTGGGCCCTCACCAAGGCGCCCCCGTCCGCCGTGGGCCCTCGGGGAATGGGGAGCCCCCAGACTCCTCACGCCGGCTATCCACACCCCAGTTCTTGGCTGATGTGGCTCTTCGTCGGTCTTGTGACTCCAACTCCTGATTGTTGTCTCAGTGCTGTGCCTTGGGTTTAGTGCTGGCCACACGGTGGTGCGTGAGCTGGGAGTAAATTCACAGGTGCTTGGGCTGCATGTGCTTAGGATACCCTTCCTTAAGTGCCCTGTAAGTACTGCCCATGGGACTTGGGGTTATCTTCCTCAAGTCACCTTTGGTCTACCTCTGCTGGGTCACTTGCTGCCTGGAGTGTGCTGGGGGGGTTTCCTCCCTTGTTTACCTTGAGGTAAGAGGTAGTTTGCACTGGTAGGGGTACGGGGTACTGCACAGCTAGTTTTCACCTATCGTAGCGGCCAGCTCTGTTCCGCCTGGATACGTTGTCCTCTTGCAGGGTTTTTCTTTTGTGTTTGTTTGTGCCTGGTGGGGGGGGGGGTCCTGCCCTTGTTGGATTCTCCTGGCTGTAATTTGTATCGGTGGTATCCCTTGTTAGACCCCCATGAGTGAACACGTGACTGGAGTTCAGCTTTTTAGCAGTTTGGTAACCTTGGGTGCCAGTTTGCAGTACCCTGCCTTGGCTTTCCTTTGAGGTACAGATCTAAGGGCCTTGGGAAACCCAGGGGTCCGATGGATGCGACCCCTGGGTCCCCTCTCGCCTTGTGTGAGTTTGAGGGGTTACTCTGTCCCCTTGTCTCAGGGTGACTCTCATCAGTTTTGCCTCCATCATGCTGCCTGTTGGGTTAGTGACACCTTCGACCCGGAGTCCTGCGAGATTTGTTGCTTGCTTGTGACTCGGTTCACCCAGTCCACTGATGACGCTATTCGGGTGCAGGCAGCTCGGGCATTGCACTGTGGGTTTAGGTTGTTGCAACAAACTAAGTTGATTGCTGACCCGGAAACCCCGAGGCTGCCCCGGACTTCGGGGGGGTGTTGGTCGCCTCGGCCTTGGTTCTGTCCGCACCCTCTTGTCCTTCCCTGCTGTGGTTCATGCTGGTCCCCCCCCCCCCCTCCCTTGCTTCCGGCTATGAAGTGTCTGAGGACTTCAGGGTCGGAGCAGGGTTTAGCTGGTTTTGAGACTCGGGCAGTCTCGGGGGATGTCCCTTCAGGGGTGGCGACGGAGGCATTCGAGTCGGTTCCTCCGGCCATGGTTTCGGGGTCTGACCAGTGGGCTCCCTCTTCTGCCTTTTTGGCTGCCCCAGCTTTTTCTTTTCAGACCGGGGCTTTGGAGGAAGACTCGGCCCCGGGTCCTGGTGTGTAGGTTCTTGGGGCGAGGGAGGGCATGGCTTGGGGGTTGGGAAAAACCCCACCTGGGTTTTTCTACCCTCAGAACGGGGCTTATTGTTACAAGGAGTGGGGTTTTCTCCCCCCCCCTCCCTCCGCGTACGAGTTGTAATTGGCATCAGCGCCTCCCCGGGTTTGATTCCATGTCCCCGTTGGTTCTGTCCTTCTAGAGGTTTTTGGCTTCCCGCATCAAGCATTCTGAGGTGTGGGAGGCCTTTGCGACTTACCTCCTGTGTGATCCAGATTATGCCTCTTATTATGAATCCATCTTCTTTCAGGTTTGGGGTCTTCGTCTCCCTACTGGATTAGATATGAGGTTCTGGAGTCCTGGCTTGTGGACTGCCCGTTGTTTTATTTGAATGCTTGTCATACCTTCTGTTGTACTCGCACGCCTGAGTGGCGTTAGGCGCTGACGGTGGTCCAGGTTTTCTTGAGGGGGGGGGGGCAAATTTGAGCAACTCAATGAGTGTTTGTTCGCCCCGGCCCTTCAGCGGGATATTGGCATAGTGCAGCTGCACATGCAGGTTCCTTCCCTTTGGGCTGCCTTGGTTGCTGAGGACTTGTGCTCTCTTGCCCTGTTGGCTTCAGTCTTGCGCTTCTGTTCCCTCCTTGAGCTATCTTCGGATTGGGTTCGGGAGGATGTGGAGACGCTTAACACTGTTCCTGGGTCTGGTGTCTTGGTCTCAGCGGAGGGACGAATTTCCTATGACCCGGAGGCTCCCCGTCAATCCCCCCCCCCTCCCAGTCGGCAGTTTTTCACCAGTTTTGACATTCAGCCTCAATCTGAGGTCTGGGCTCCCCCTTCCCCCCTATCGGGGAGGGGGGGAGCTGTGCAGACAAGCAGCACGTGTGAAGTCATGCTCGTTTGCTCATTTTCGTTTTGGGAGTTCTGTCCACTCGTTTAGCTTTCAGAAGTAGTGTTAACCAAAATATGGGTTTGTTTTGGGGCGCTTACCTTTCTGGGTGCCTGGCCCGGTCGATGGCAGACAAAGAATGCTCCAAATCACATGTGCAATTATATAGGCCATTACTCCTCATGCCTCTGAGGGGGCCAGATTCTGCCTCGTGGTCCCTGGTAGGCCTATGAACTCCATTTACACTGACTGATGCCAAAATCAAATAGTATCCATATCTGCCTGGATAGCTCCGGGAAGCCTCTGGGTCTCGCCCAGAAAATGGTGTTTCATTACATTCGACGCTGGGTTTTTTTATCGAGTACACTGTACAGTATATTCATTTGTGCACACGTATTAGTGTGGAGGGCTCTCTTTATTATGAACATGCTCAGTGGTAAAGATTCTGTACTTAATTTTATGTAGTACACTGTCCTCTCTTGTGAACTTGCAGGCATCCTGGCAATTGATTGTCTTTATCTTGTATTTATAACATTTCTTATTTTCAATATTTACCTTATATTTCCATCGGAAAGGACACATGTTTTTCGTCCACCCCTACCCCAAAATCCATCCAATATGTGTACACATTAGTTATAACTTGTACACTGGAAATAACATATTTTCTAAATTGTGTAAGATTCCTCTACATACATACATTCATACAACCGACTATTTCTCTTTCTCTAACAAATGATTTATCTTTTAGCTTTGGATGTTCTGATCTTCATGGGGATGGTCGGGTTCATGAGCAAACAGGGCCAGGAAACCCTAGTGGGTTTGGCTTTGAGCTAACGATGCGCTTGAAGAGGGAAGATGGAGAGAAAAGTCCACCCACTTGGCCAGCAGCCATCATGCAAGCCCTCTCAAAATATGTCTTCCAGTCCGGTAAGCTAGGAGCGAAGAGATGAACGACTAGTACTTATTAATGTGTTAAAGGCTTTTGTATAAATTTCAAGTTTGCAAGTGTTGCAGTGGTGGGGGTGCTGCCCATTTTCTCTGTTGCATTTGTAACAGCTTGATGGATTCTGTGAAAATGTGATGCATTAGGTGAGATGATGGGTTGTGATGATTGTGTGTGTGGCCCATGTGATAATGGCAGTTAGAATGGAAAAACTGCACTGAGCTTCTGCATTAGTTATATTAAGCAATTGGGCTTTGGTTCTCCAGTTGATGTGTCTACTGGAGTGTGTTTGGTGCTGAAGTTAACCAGCTGGAAGTTTTTTGATTGGGTTGTCGTTTTGCGTATCTTTATTCTTCCTTTCATTTATTGCTCTCTTGTTGTATACAAGCAGATGCCTCTTGCTCTATAAAAAGTGAGAAATGTGCCAGTGATGGTCCAAAAAATGCTTGCATATCTTAATGTGACATTAAGCAAAATATAATTACATCTGACGGCTGAAACCTTAACATGCAAGAATGAAATGCTTCAGCGTAATATGTATTTAAGGTGTGTTGTATTGGCGGTTATAAATGGAAAGATGATAATGTATAACACTAATAATAATTTTATATTTACATAACATAAATTAGAGACATGATGCAGCTCAGTATTCATAGGTTCACAATGCATATTATACAAAGGCACTAATATGCAGTGTGTATAGATGTGGGATAGCTGTTAAAATGTTGGACACGTTATCCTTCTTGCAGAGTCCATATTGTGTGTTGGCGACCACGTGTCGTGGCACTGTCCCTTGGACAACAGTGAATCTCGCGTTCAGCACATGCTGATGGGTGAAGACCCACAGCTAGGAAGTGTCACAACCCCCAACGGTTCCGTCCAGTTTGTGCAGATTGTTGGAGTGACGACGGAAGAGTTGAGGGCTGCTCAACACTGGAATGGCATCGGTGTTCTTGACATAATAAAGCGGATGCCAAGGTGAGACTTTATTGTTGAATTGGTCACCACAGCATAGTGAAATTGCTTAAATGTGATGGATCCATGGAAAATTTATTGAAGCCGTACAATGGGATTAAGCTTGCATCCCAGAGCTTCTCGGGTGCATGCACTACCAACTGGACCATGATGGGTTTAAAATTACTGTTCAGTTTTTTACCCTTAAGCATTGTTGCTATTTAAATGTACTACATCAAGGTATACAGAATTTAAAATAGTTGAATCAATTGGGGGGAAAAAATGGCCCCAGAACTGCACAGCTACTGTATACCTGACAACCTCCAGGTGTGCCAGAAAAAAAATCCCCTCCAAAAATGATTTTTCTTTCTAATCTTGTTAGAGTGCCTTTCCTGATCATAAGAAAATACTGTAATAACAAAAAAAAAAGTTTTATCGCTTAGTTTGGGTGAGGTGGAGTGCAGAAAGCTGGAGTGATGTCAAGATTGACGAGCGCTGGTGGGGCAGTCACCCGTGAGTAGTCACCCTAAGCCAGGCGTGGGGCACAAGTTGCTGTGAATGTATGTATGTATTTTTTTTTCCACTAAGCAGTTCTGGTGGGTATAATAGTTTCATAACCAGCATTTGAAGTTCAGCCTAGCCTCGCATATTTTGCACAAAGTTCTAACTACACACATTGAGTATACTGCATTATATTTTCTTTATATTTGTAATGTTTTTATTATGGTTTATTTCAAGTGCACTGGGCTGTCAATATTATATGTATCACAGACCATCTAGAACACTGGTACACACAGATGTATTAGTGTCGCTGTTATGTGCGCAATATTATATTCTTTGAGTAATAAAACGTCATTATGCTGCGTACGCATGTTATGTATAACTTCATTTTGAGGCACCATAATGAACCACTAAGCAGTTCCGGTGGGTGCAGCAATCTCATATTCCTAGCGCTGCTTAGCACTACGCATTAGTCGGCTGCCTTCCAGTGTACTACGCACATTACTAACTAGCCACAATGGTGCTATTATTAGAAATCTAGTTGCTAAATCCTGAATGTGAATAATTTTCCCACACGTTTATTTTCTAAAGGAACACGAGGTTCTTTTTCATGATGCACCAAACCGCGGCTATGGATGTTCACCTTGTGCTGTGAACATCATAACTAGTCTTAGGTTCTCCAATGTCTGAACTTTGTACATAGTCTGTATCACAGTCAGCATCTTCTATGACATTCGTCAAAAACTATTGCAGTGCCTTATTTTTCCACTATTAAGTGATGCTATGGGGCCACGAGCTGCATAGCCGTGCTGTGAGCTACTGCTGCACGCACTACTGTTGCTTGTTTGGTACCGAGGCCCTCGCACCCAAAAGGTGTGCCTATGATTTTTTTCCAAGATGGAGTCTATTTACTGATGTCCTGAGGAGGGAGGTGTTAGCTCCGTGTACCCGTGGGAGTTTTAAATTTTACACCGTACTCTTAAAACATTCCTGATTGTGTGGTACAGCTTAAGGATGACCCTCATTGTATTCCATGGTGTAAGGATTAACGCCCCATGTGGTCCACTCGGTGGTGTGTGCATGCCGGGGGAGTTTAGGAATGTGGGTTTGCTGCCATTTTATGGTTTTAGTACTCTCAATCACCACAGGTGTGTGTCATATAATCTTGTGTCCTTTGAATATTCTAAAACTTGTGTTATGTTTCAGTTCTAGCTTGTTCCTGTTCAAAATTTGAGTGAACTTTTGCTTCATGTTAAATTCTACAGCTTACGCAGTTGAGCAGTAATGAGATGCACCATAATGTGGCAATTTCTTGGCATCCTTACATACTTGGTTTCTCATGTTGACAAAAACAAAAAAAACTGACCTGCTTAGACAAAGATGGCCATTATTTGTCAAAATAAAATCTTTGGAATTTGCATAGATCATATTTTAGACATTTCTATCTTAGATCTAATAATCATCATATATTCTCCCATCTGTTATTTGCCTGATTTACCTGAGGGTCGCTAACCCTAGTGGCCTTGATGAGGACAGGAAGCCGGAGCTTGTTGAAGGTCACCCCCCCCCCCCTCCCGTTCGTCTTGATGCTTCATGTTACATGTTATGGCCGGTAACAAAAAAAAAAACACAACTCTGTAATTTATTCTTTATCATTCATTCTTTGTCATTCAACAGTGCAGGAGGTCCATGGATGGTGACAGACATGCGCAGGGGCGAAAGCATTTATGAACTGGAACCTTCTGTAGCTGAAGAAGTCGAAAATGGAATTGAGAATGAAGGTTCTAACCTGTCGGGTGTCTCGGCCAGGATAGCATGGGCAGAGGCTGAGCTTGGAAATATGGTAAATCAGTCTGGGTCTTTGTGGTAATTACGTAAGTGAACATGTAATGAAGGTCAAAATTATTATATTAAATATCTTTGTTTTGTGAATCGGGCAGAAGAGCATCTGAAATTTTTTGTCTTCAACAGGCTCCACTTTCCCCGCTGTCGCCAAGAACTGACATTGATCAGGAATCGGAAGCTTCTCCACGTATAACTCACGTGGAGAGTGAGCAGATAAAGAACACCCTACAGAAAGGTCTTATGCAAGGTGTAAGCAAGGGCTGTGTCACCCGAGGCACACTTGAAGGAAAGGCTGGCAGGTAAACACATCTCAAATGTTTGTTTTGGAAAGTGATATAATGGCATAGGGATGTGTTGACCCAGTTGACCACCATTACATTATTGAGGTTGTAGACCCATGTTCCCCAGTTTTCATGCCACTAAAGGCAAAAGTGGCTTTGATCTGGGGCTGTACCTGCTTAATACTTTCGCTCGCCGAGCAAGCGATCGCCAGACCACCCCAAGGTGCGCTGCGCATTCCATGGGAGCATGCGTTTTTTTTAATCTTGGTTTTCACTCTTTTTCAATTTTGTCACATCAGTTCTCATCCTAGGTCTTTCATTTTTGTATCAATGTTTTCGCAATAGAATTCCCTACAGGAGTACAGTGTGTCCTGACTTGAATGAACTATATGGGGCAAAGCCATTTCATTCCAGTGCGGAATTCGTTCCATCCGTCTGGCCCCAACTACCCTCTTCAAAGTTTTTTTTTTCTACATATGCCAGGACACATTTGCATTAGGAAAAATTGCACCTGACTCACAAAGGGAGTCCTTGCTAATGCTGGGTGCTGGTCATGTAGGCCTACTGTGAAACCGTACCAAAAACTTTTGAATTTAAGTTTATTTCTTTGTTGTGCGCTGCTTCATTGTAATATCTTTCATGCCCTTTAGGTATCGATAATAATCTGCCATCTCTTCATCATCAGACACTTCTCTGACTCCATGTCCCATCACCGACACCATCCCCCACCACTGACACCACCAGACTTCTTGACCCCACCCCTACCCCCCACTACTGACCCTACCCCCTACCACTGACCCCACCAGGCTTCTCTTGACACCATCCCCCACCACTGACATCACCAGACTTCTCTCGTCACCATCCCCCACCATCAGACTTCTCTCAACACCATCCCCTTACCACTGACACCATTCCCCACCACCAAACTTCTCTTATCATCCCCCACCACTGACACCACCAGACTTCTCCGACACCATCCCCCACCAAAGACACCATCCCCCACCACCAGACTTCTCTTGACACCATCCCCCATCACCAAACTTCTCTTGACACCATCCCCCATCACTAAACTTCTCTTGACACCATCCCCCATCACCAAACTTCTCTTGACACCATCCCCCACCACTGACACCACCTGCCTCCCCTGACACCACCTGCCTCCCCTGACAACACCTGCCTCCCCTGACAACACCTGACACCACCTGCATCCCCTGACAACACCTGCCTCCCCTGACAACACCTGACACCACCTGCCTCCCCTGACAACACCTGACACCACCTGCCTCCCCTGACAACACCTGACACCACCTGCCTCCCCTGACAACACCTGACACCACCTGCCTCCCCTGACAACACCTGACACCACCTGCCTCCCCTGACAACACCTGACACCACCTGCCTCCCCTGATAACACCTGACACCACCTGCCTCCCCTGACAACACCTGACACCACCTGCCTTCCCTGACAACACCTGCCTTCTCTGACAACACCTGACACCACTTGCCTCCTCTGACACCACCTGCCTCCGCCTCCCCTGACAACACCTGCCTCCCCTGACATCACCTGACACCACTGACACCACCAGTCTTTTCTGACAACCCCCAACGAGAATAACTTCCACCTGCCTCCTGACACTAAACCCCGAACTACTGATACCACTTGCCTCCAGACACCAACCCTCACCAATGATGCAACCTGCCTTCCCTGACACCATTTTATCATCCTTCAACCATTTCTCACTGGAAACAATGGGTAAGCAAAATATAATGCTGTACAACTGTTTACACTTTGGTGAAAGATAGTTGATGACAGCCACTGTCATCAACTATGAGAGCTGGGTCTCGGTGATCGCTTGGACGAACAATCTTCACTTAATTGAACATTTGTATGTTCCACTGAACATTTAGTACAGAATTTAATTTGTTCGGATCATTCGGTAATTCAATAGAGCGGGGTTCGTTAGAGTGAGGATGCACTGCACATGCATATAAATTGCGGCGTACCACCTGCAGCAAACAGAGAAAGTGACAGCACGTTACCCGTGATCGCTCAAGCAATAAAATGTGTATACAATACTCTTCTTAACTTTGTCACCTCATTTCCCGTTCTAGGTCTTTCACTTTGGTATCAATGTGTTTGCAATTAAATTCCCTACAGGAGTATATGCATATAATGTCCAAAACCGCGGCACCCCCACCCTCAGCCAAGCCGAAAGCAGGCCAAATTTTTAAATTTTTCATGCCATACTACATCAATTCTGCACATTCGTCTACTAAATTTTTGACGCCATACTGAGTTATCAACGAGTGAAAGCTTAAGCCTCGGAAAGTCAAAACAGGTTTGTGTGGTTGTCTGGAATGTTAGAGTAGTAAATGAGGAACTTAAGAAGTTGGATATATTTAAATTTTTGGGAAAGAAAATTTGATGTGCAGAATTGCATTTGTACAAGACAGATGCAAGAAAATATGAATTGGATGTAAGGAAGGTATATGCCTGTTAATAAAGGAAATAAGAAAAAGTACGGATAGCGTATTCTTGTTAACAAATACGATGGTATGAAGCAACGAATAGCTTTTTGTATAGATCATGTTGCACAACTTGACAGTGGTATTTTGACAGCAGGTATCAAGCGGGTATCTTGATGCTTGTATGTGAAATTCAAGTTTAAAATAGGATAATAATAATGACCAACAATGTGATAATATATCATGTGAAATGCACAAAAACGGTGAATGATTTGTCAAATATATAAATGTATATTTATACTGCATATAAGTTTATGTATATACCTACTGTATATAAATAAACCAACCTACATAAACGAAATGAAAACGATGTTTCAGTCCTGGACCTTTATCAAAAGGGACAATGCATAAGGGCTCAAGATGGACCGAAACTTAGTCATTTTCATTTAGTTTCAAGCATGAGAGTTGGTTTACTTCTCATTCCCATTGTTTTGACATATTCTCTGCATCAACTTGATGAGTAAGGTGCAATCCACAAGTGTGGGTAATAAAGTCTTGCTTCAGTCACTTTGACCATTGGAGATTTAACTTGAGTTTTTGAGGTATGAATTGAAGATGATGGTAGAGTAAAAGTGAATGAATATGTACAAGTATACAATATTTTTTTATATTGACAGTGAAGCTGATGTGGAGGGCAATGTGGCCACCACAGATTCAGCAGAGCTGTTTGTTACACGAAGGTTGGAGTCGGTTCATCTTACAATCAACCTGGAATCTGGAGCACTTCTCCCTCTAGCACTTAGGTACGCCTTCAAATTGATTTGTATGAAGTTCAACATTTTTTCAACAGTGCGAAAACAATAGTGCATTTAGAAAGATGTTGTATGCCGTTCCTATGGTCATACCGGCAATATTGTTCCAGACATAAACTTAGATGTTTGTGCTGTATTAGATGCTATGCACTTGGGTGTACATATTGTACTACCATTGGACACGCATGTCAGCTTGAGAAACCTGCAGTGTACCACCGGAGAAACACACTGTTGCGAAAGTGTTCATTTAATATACAAAAAGCAGAATAGAAGGCACCATAGATAAACATCTTTGATCACTAGCCTCTATAACATCCAGTGCTTATTCTGTTTGATAAGTTACATCAGTTTATAAGTTCAGTTCTTTGCCTTTTGCCTCTTTCAATGACCCTTGGTTTATTTAATCAGGGGTCTCATAAGTTTATGAAGTAGTTTCAAAATCTGTAAATTGCAATGAATTATTAATGATTATTGTTAATATTTATGCTCCTTCATTGAGTTTTCTTATATATTAGATTTCAGAGACAAAGAATTGTTCTTAGAAATAAACTATAATTTTGGCATTTTATATGTGGACTAAGCATGTAATCTGCTCTTGTACAAATTTTTCTAATTTTAGTTTGTCAGGACAGGAAGTCTGTACATAGGCTCATTGAGGACCCTCTTAGGCCAAATACTGACCTTTCTCAAGATGCAACCCAAAACAGTGGGTTCAATTCCACCATCCTGCTCCAAAGATTTTCTCAGTTCCGTGTAACTCCCAAGTACAGTGGCACCTCGGGATACAAAGGTCCCTCTTTACAAATTTTTTGGGTTACGATCACAATTTAGTCGGAAAATGCTAATCGGGTTATGATCTTTGCCTCGCCTTGCGACTTTGTTGTTACACGTGTGGGTCAACAGAGTGCATGGTTCCTGGTGGCACGGGCGACCCCCACTTCAATTAACCAGAGCCACCCACTTAGTGACGCTCGCGCTTGAATTCTTTGTAAAAAATTTCATTGTTTTTGTGCTTTTCTGGGGGGAGCCCCTATGGCTCCCTGGAGCTATCCAGGCTGATAGGGATAGTCCTAACTTTTGGCATCAGTCGATGTGGGTGGAGTTCTAGGCCTACCGGGGACCACGAGCCAGAACCTGGCCCCCTCAGAGAGGCACGAGGAGCAATGGCCCATAGAATGCACGTGTGATTTTGGAGCATTCCATATCTGCCATCGACCAGGACAGGCACCCAGAAAGGTAAATGCCACAAATGAAACCCCTATTCTGGTTAAAACAAAATGAAAAAAACAAACGAGTGGACAAAACTCCTTAATTGAAAACGAGCAAACAAGCATGATGTCACACGAGCTGGGCCGCATGTCTGCGCAGCTTCCCCCTCCCCAGGAGGGGGAAGGGGGAGCCCCAAACCCCCCCATGCCGGCGATCCTCCCTCCAGTTTCTCGGCTGATAGGATACTGCTTGGTTGTTGTGGCTCCAGCTCTAGATTCTTATTGTGCTGTGCCTGGGTTTAGTACTTCTCTTAGGTGGTGTGCTAGCTGGTAGTAATGTTCACAGGTACTCAGGCTGCATATGCTTATGGATGGATGTGACCCTTGAGTCCCCTCTCGCTATTTGCTTTTTTGAGGGTTTCTCAGGGCAACGGCGACTCGCATTGTTTTTGCCTCCGTCATGCTGCCTGTTGGGTCGGTGACACTTTCGACCCGGAGTCCTGCGAGCTTTGTTGCTTGTGTCTGACTCGGTTCACCCAATCTGATGATGATGATATTCGGGTGCAGGTGGCTCTCGCATTGCAAGATAGGTTTAGATTGTTGCAGCTCGCTAGGTTAGTTGCTTCCCCGGATTCCCCGAAGCTTCCCCGTTTTGTTTATTGGGACCCAGACTTGGGGGTGTTGGTCACTTCGGCCTTGGTTCCATCTGCGCCCCCTTGTTCTTCCCACTGCTGTGGTTCATTAGGTTTCCCCCTTCCCCATGCTTCCGGCTTCTAAGTGTCTGAGGGCTTTGGGGTCGGGGCAGGGTTTAGAGGTTTGAGACTCGGGCAGTTTCGGGGGTTGCCCTTTCTGGGGTGGCTACGGAGGCATTCGAGTCTGTTCCTCCAGCCATGGTTCCGGGGTCTGGCCAGTGGGCCCATCCTCTTCCTGCCATTCCAGCCGCCCCGGCTTTTTCTTGAGGCCGGGGCTTTGGAGGATGACTCATCCCCGGGACCTGATGTGGAGGTTCCCGGGATTGGGGAGGAGCTGACTTGGGGGCCTTGGACCTCGCCTGGGTTTTCCGACCCTCCGAGCAGGGCTTACTGTTGCAAGGAGTGGGGGTTTTCCTTCCCCCCTCTACATAAGAGTTGGATTTGGTTTTGGCTCCTCCTCGGGTTCGGTTCCGTGTTCCTGCGGGTCCTTCGGTTTTGTCTTTCCGGAGGTTTTCGGCTTCCCCGTATCTCTCCGATTGAGGTGCGGGCGGCCATAGTGGTTTGCCTCCTGCGCGACCCGGAGTATGCCTCTATAATGGATTTGGCTTCCTTCAGGTTTGCATCTTCGTCTCCATACTGGGTTTGTTTTGTGGTTCCGGAGTTGTCCTGGCTAGCGGGCTGCACTCTGTTTTCGAAGGATGCTTGGGACACCGTACCCGCACATTTGAGTGGCATGGGGCATTGACTGTGGTCCCGCTTGGGACACCGTACCCGCACATTTGAGTGGCATGGGGCATTGACTGTGGTCCAGATCTAAATGGGGGGCAATTTTGCACACTTTAATGAGTGCCTTTTGCTCCGGCTCTTCTGCGGGATATTGGTGTGGTTCAGCTTCATTTGCAGGTTCCTTCCCTGTCGGATGCGCTTGTGACTGAAGATTTGCGCACTTGGGGCTCGTTGGCTTTGGTCCTGTGTTTCTTTTCCCTCCTTGAGCTGTCTTCTGACTGGCAGAAGACTCCGGAGGATGTAGAGGCGCTTGGGGTCGTTCCTGGGTCTAGTTCCTTGACCTCGGCTGCTCGTGCGTCGTCTGCACTTTTGAAGCTGTTTGTGTTGATCCTGCGGGATGCGCTGCTGCAGTTTTTCACTGCGCGCCTCGCATGTCGGCAGGTGGTACTCGCTTTCCCCTTGGAATCTGCTTGGACCCTGGCTCTTGAATTGTCTTTGCCCTTTTGTTCTTTGTTGTTTGTGGCTTCTGCAATCGAACAATATATGCAAATGGCTTCCTCCAGCTGCCGTATGTCTGACTTGTTGGTTCTACGTGGGTCCTGGGTGGGTTCCTCCCAGAGGAGTTGTGCCAGGGCCAGCGGTTCCACTCGTCGAGTTGGGTCACAGATGCCAGTTTTGGAGCCAGTGTCACCTGTGGTCCTGGCTGCACCTGGTCGGCGCGGTGTTCGCTCTGTGCGCAGGTCGGGTTCTAGTGAGGGGCGTCGGCCCTTTCGCGGTTCGCCCCATTGACAGGGCGATTTCTCGTGGTCTTCGATGGCGTTGGGTGGCTCCTCCTTCGGGGGGTTCGGGGCTGACGGGGCAGGCCTCTTTCCCTGTGCTCTGTCAGGTCTTCTTGGAGTGGGAGTGCTTGGGCGTGGTCGAAACGACGACGTCCCTCAGGTGGGTTTCCCGCCTGTTTCCAGTTCCGGTATGAAACTGTGCTGACCTGCGGTTCATTCTGGACTTGTCCCGTCTGAACCCCTGGGTTTTTTGCCCCTCCTTTTGGATGACCACTCTGTTCCAGGTCCAGCACCTGTTGGAGCTGGGAGCTTGGATGGTGTCCCTGGACCTCAAGGACGCGTATTGGCACGTCCCGATTTATCCGGGGTTCAGGGACTGGCTCGGTTTTGTTGTACTTTCATTGTCTCCCGTTTGGGTTGAACCTGGCACCTCGAGTGTTCACATGCCTTACCCGGGTAGTAGTGGCCCATCTGCATCTGTTAGATGTTCGGATGTTGGCTTACCTCGACGGCTGGCTGGTTTGGGTTCCCAGTCAGTCCACGTGTCTGCTCGCCAGGGATTTGGTGCTCTCCCAGCTAGCTGGGTTCCTGGTGAACTGGTGGAAGTCCCATCTGGTTCCCTTCCAGGTTTGGACCTGGCTGGGTCTTGTGTGGGACTCTCGGACCGCTTCCTTATCTTTTCCTCCGGAGTCTCTCCTTTGGCTGCGGTCCCGCATGCGCTTGTTTCTGGAGAGCTCCCAGGTCACCCTGCGGTTGCTCGAGGGGTCTGTGCGGGAGCCTGAACTTTGCGATGATGGTCCACCTGCCGGGTCGGGTTTGGCTTCGTCGGCTGTTCTGAGTCCTTAGGGGACTTTCCTTCCGCCTTTCTCGCGATTGCTGGGTTCAATCAACGGGGGCTTAACTTCGGCTGCTGCGTTGCTGGCTTCCTCTTTGAGTTTTTCAAGATTCAGTGCCTTGGCGCCTACCCGAGCCTTCACTTGATGTATTCATCGACGCGTTGTTTCTTGGCCGGGGCTTTGTGACCAGTGCTTGGAGCTCCCCAGGCCGGACAGGGTTGGTGGGGTCCGTCCTTTCGTCTGGCCCACAGCACGGTGCGGAAGTTCGCGGCAGTGTGGTTTGCGCTTCGGAGGATTCGGGTCACCCGGGGTTTGATGATCCGGCTCCATTCGGACTGTTTGCCGGTGGTTCATTGCAGTCCTTGGCTCTTTGGGGCTGGTTGCTTTGGGTGACTTGTCTGCTGAGTTCTCGGGGTTTGGCTCCTAGCGATTCACGTCTGGGGCCTTGCGGCCTGTCGTGGTTCGTTCCTCTGTCCATGGATTGGACGGTCAATGCCGACTACTCATTCAGTTGGTTCTGCTAGATGTTCGGGCACCCGGAGGTGGATCTCTTCGCGTTGGCGTGGTCGAAGCGTCTTCCAGTATATGTGGCACCCTTCCCCGACTGTCGGGGTAGACGCCTTCCGGCAGGACTGGTCGAGGTGGGGGTTCCTGTACCTCTTTTTTCCGGTTCAGCTGTTGCTCCAGGTCCTGGCTCGCTTGAAGACTTACCAGGGGCGAGTAGTCCTTTTTCAGCCATGGTTTCAGGCGCTGCTTGCCCGGTATCTGAATCCGGAGGTTTTTCCGCGGCTCCTCCTCTTGCAGAAGATCGGCCTGGACCATTACGAGACTGGTTCATTCTTCTCCTCGAATCTTCACGTTTGGTGTTTTTGACTCTGGTCTATGGTGATCAGGTGGCCTCGTTGATGGTTTCCCATCTGCGGGCTTCATCCCAGCGGCAGTATGAAGTTTCCTAGCGGTCCTTCCGGTTCTTTTTTGACTCTTTGTCGTTGTACTTCGCTTTCGGTTTGGGTGGTGTTGTGCTTTCTCTCTTGGTTGTTCCAAGAGAGAAACGACAGGACTGTCATCTTGTGCAGAATACTGTCGCCTCGTATCGTGCAGCATTGGCGGAGCCGCTTCAGCTTGCTTTCGGTATCGATGTTACTTCTGCGTGTTTCGCAAGCTGTCTTGTGCTCAGGCGGCCTGCTCATGCGCCGCCTGAGCCGTCTTGGTCTTTGGATAGTGCTCTCCTTTCTCTCTTCTTGGTTTGTTGTAGCCCCTTGGCATTGGCCTCTGGGGGTCGGGTTGGGGAGCTTCATGCTCTTCTCCGGCGCAGGAGTTTCTGCTCTTTCAGTTGAAGTGTTAGGTTTGTTCGTTTGCAGCCGTCTCCTTTTCTAGCGAAGAATGAGACTGCTGCTTTCCGGAGAGGTCCTTGAGCTGTTGATGCTTGGTTGGTCAGGCCAGGAGTGCATCATGCGTTGTGTCCGGTTGCGACCCTTTGCCGTTATTTGCGTGCCACGGCTTCTGTGGCTAGGGACGCGATTTGGGTTGATCCAGTTTCCCTTCTTCCCTGTTTGTGGGTATGGGTCTCTCAGGCCATCCGCAAGGTTGCGGCCCAGCCTGCGATCTATCCCTGTGCCCATGGCGTTCGTAAGTATGTTGCTCTTGCTGCTGTCTTTGGTAACATGTCCTGGGCTGACATTCGGGCGCGGGGTTTTTGGCAGTCGAATAGGGTCCTGGCTGCACGCTACCTCGTTAACGCTCCTAGGCCCATTCGAGCCTGTGTCGCTTTGGGTTGGCGGCTGCAGCCTGTCTCGACTTCGAGTTGAGGTGTGGAGCACCGACTGCCTCCCGGGTAAGTCCCTTCTTTATATTATCTTTGGTGAAATAGCTCCGGGAAGTCGTAGGGGCTTCCCCCAGAAAACCAGCGTTGAATGTAATGAAACGCCACTTTCTGGGTGAGACCCGGAGATCTTCCCAGCAACCCTCCCTCCCTCCAGTCGGCAGTTTTTGCGTATTTTGATATCCAGCCTCGGAATTACAGGGTAAATTGCCTGCGTAGTGGTCTGGGGCTCCCCTTTTCCCCTCCCGGGGAGGGGAAGTTGCGCAGACCTGTGGCGCGGCTCATGAGATGTCATGCTTGATTGCTCGTTTTCAATTGGAGTTCTGTCCACTTGTTTGTCTATTTAAATTGTTTTTTTTAACCAGAATAGGGGTTTGTTTTGTAGCGCTTACCTTTCTGGGTGCCTGTCCCGGCCGATGGCAGATATGGAATGCTCCAAAATCACAATGGGCATTCTATGGGCCATTGCTCCTTGTGCCTCTGAGGGGGCCAGGTTCTGGCTCGTGGTCTCCGGTAGGTATTGAACTCCACCCACATCGACTGATGGCAAAAGTTAGGACTATTCCTATCAGCCTGGATAGCTCTGGGGAGCCTCCGGGACTCGCCCAGAAAATGGCGTTTCAACTCTGTGTTTTTTTTTTTTTTTTTTTTTTTTTTTTTTTTTTTTTTTTTTTAACACAAAAGTAATTATTATATATCTCGCCATGGGTCCCAAGAAAGTCAGTGGTAAGGTTCAACCTAAGAAAATAGTTGAGTAGAGGCACTAGAGGATGTCCATTCCTCATTAAGAAAATGTGTGAAATACGGGAAGAACTGCAAAGTTTTGTTGAAAAAACTCGCCCAAATAAAGCAGGGAAGTAAAAAGCAAATAAATAAATAAAAGCAAATAAAGCTCACAGATAAAGCAGGGAAATAAAAAGCAAATAAATAAATAAAGCAAATAAAGCTCACAGATAAAGCAGGCTTTATTTGTTTGAGCAATGCAATTGCCTGTAGCAGGCCATTGCATTGACCTTTTTAATGACAATGTGATGTCTCACTACAGATGTGTGTTAAAATGGAGGGAAAAACAAGTGTCTTTAGGCAGATTCTTAGTAAGACAAGCAAGCAGTGAGCCACAACCAGGTCCTAGTGGTATGCCTGCAAAATGTAGGAGAGAGAGTACCCCCAGAGAAATCATTACTGCCTGATGTTGTAATGGAAGGGGACTCCCCTTCCACACACTAACACCTCTCCTCCCACCCCGTCCTTACCATTTTCCATATGCCAACAAGTCATCAGTAAAGGTAAGTTATAACTTGTACATATAGTAGAACCTCAAGTGACGAGCGACTCAATTTACGAGCATTTTGAATAACGAGCGCACCGATCGCCGACAATTTGTCTCGAATGGCGAGCGCTCGTTTGAAGAACGAGAAAACCACATGGTGCGTTCCCGCTGCTTCTCGCACATTCTCGGACGCCTCCGACAATGCAAATAAATTTTTTTGCTTTGTTTAATTGAAGATGCTGGGATGCAAAGGGATGACTGCTGTGGTGTTGCAAAGCATTGACATATTTTTGTAGAATAAAAAAAAATTAAAAAATTTGAAAAAAAGAACAAATGTCAAAAAGGTTCGTTCAGTGTCAGGTAGGCTGCTCCATTATTTAAAAAATTGAATATCATATTGATGTTTTTCGGCAGGGGAACGGATTATTTTTATTTCCAAAATGTTAAATGGGGAAATTCGTTTTGAAAGACGAGCATTTCATATGACGAGCACGGCGCCGGAATGGATTAACTTCGTTATTCGAGGTACCACTGTACTATAACACAAAGTATTTGTGTGTACTATGTATGAAATGTATTTAGAAGTTAATATTTTTGGGAGTGTGGAATGGATTAATTCAATTTACATTATTTCTTATGGGAAAATTCGTTTTGGGTTGCGAATTTTTGGCTTATGACCCGTCTCTGGGAACGGATTAAATTCGAAAACCAAGGTGCCACTGTACGTATTTTACTGCTAGGTGATGAGGTGCATCAGGTTAAAGGAAATGTGACCAAATGTTTGTCCTGCCCTAGGATTGAACCTGGGTCCCACTGTTGTGAGGTGGGACCACCAACACCAACCCCATATAGTAATGCCTTTTATCCATCTTGTCTGTCCAACCAAGTGTAATTCATTCATGGTCTTGTTTCAGTCTTTAGTTTCTGCATTTTACATAGTTGTTCTTCATGAAGAAATTCCTGTTTGTCTGCAGTAAAAAGCTTTATTATTTAATGAGCAGCATTTGCAACTCAAAATCTGAATATTGGTTATTCCTGTTATTTGGGTCTTGAGTGTTATAATTGTCCAACAAGTGAGACATTGTATGGTGAGGCATTATTTGTAGTAGTGGTCAACTGAAAAGGTTGGCTGGATCCTGAACAAGCAATTTGTATTTTTTTACTTTTACAAAATTTATATTAACAACAGGATATGCTAGTTTATGGGATTAAATTTTGTCCTACTTTGTATTTGCTAATTTACACTCTTACTGCATTTTGTTTTATGTATAGGGGGCGGTTAAAACATGGACGGCACTTCACCTTCAAGTCTGTTGTCGACATTGGAGCGGTGACTCTGGTTCCTCCTGCTGTGGCCGGTGCCTTCGTTGATGCCAGTTGCCCATATGCCAGCCGTGGTCCTTGGCTACAAATTTTTATACCCGACGACTTTCTCCCAGCCATGGCAATGGACTTGGCTGATCTTGCAGATCCTGAAGAGGTAAATCTCGGGGGATGGGCTTTAAATTCCAGTGTACAGCCTCGATATTGATACATGACGTTCTTGTGATTTCAGCAGACTCTTCTGAACTGTATACCTTGGAGTATTTCCGGGGCTTAGCGTCCCCGCGGCCCGGTCATCGACCAGGCCTCTTCATTGCTGAACTGGTCAACCAGGCTGTTTGATGCGGCTACTCGCAGCCTGACATATGAATTACAGCCTGGTTGATCAGGTATCCTTTGGAGGTGCTTATCCAGTTCTCTCTTGAACACTGTGAATGGTCGGCCAGTTATGCCCCTTATGTGTAGTGGAAGTGTGTTGAACAGTCTCGGGCTCTGTTGTTGATAGTTCTCTCTGAGTACCTGTTGCACCTCTGCTTTTCAACGGGGGTATTCTGCACATCCTGCCATGCCTCCTGGTCTCATGTGTTATTTCTGTGTGCAGGTTTGGGACCAGCCCCTCTAATATTTTCCACGTATAGATTATTATGTATCTCTCCCACCTGCGCTCAAGAGAATACAGATTTAGGCTCTTTAGTCGGTCCCAGTAGTTTAGATGTTTGAGTGGACGTGGATTCTAGCAGTAAAGGATCTCTGCATGCTCTCCAGGTCAGCAATTTCTTCTGCTTTGAAAGGGGCTGTCATTGTGCAGCAGTACTCCACTCTAGAGAGCATTAGCGTCTTGAAAAGTATCATCGACGGTATAGTATCTTTAGTGTGAAAGGTTCTTATCCAACCTGTTATTTTTCTTGCAGTTGTGATGGCTACTTTGTGTTCTTTGAAGTTAAGGTCTTCCGACATGAGTACACCCAGATCCTTTACATTGCCTTTTCATTCTATGTTATGATTTGACTGCGTTTTGTACGTGGTTTCCGTTTTTATATTTTCATTTTTTTCCGTAATGCATGAGCTGGAACTTATCTTCGTTAAACACCATATTATTTTCTGTAGCCCATAGAAAGACCTGATTTACATCTGATTGGAGGTTTGCCGTGTCCTCTGTTATCTACTCTCTTGGAAACCCTTGTGTCATCTGCAAAGGATGATACAGTACTATAGACTGTGTCCTTGTCTATATCCGATATGAGGATGAGAAAAAGTACTGGAGCAAGCACAGTACCCTGGGGGACTGAGCTCTTCACGGTTGATGGGCGGGATTTTATTTTCTTGACTATTACACACTGCACACTGGGTTCTGTTAGTCAAGAAATTATAGATCCATCTGCCTATTTTTCCGGTAATTCCTTTTGAACGCATTTTATGTGCAATAACATCATGGTCACATTTGTCAAAGGCTTTTACAAAATCTGTGTAAATTACATCAGCGTTTTGTTCGTCTTCCATGGCATCTAATGCCATGTCATAGTGGTTTGGCAACTGTGACAGGCAAGAGTGCCCTGTTCTGAAACCATCTTGTCCGGGGTTATGGAGATGCTGTGATTCCATGTATTTTGTGATCTTACTACTTAGTAATATCTTACTCTCTCAAAGATTTTTATGATGTGCGATGTTAGCGCTATCGGTCTGTAATTTTTTGCCTCTGCCTTATTTCCTCCTTTATGAAGTGGTGCTATCTCTGCTGTTTTTAGTATATCAGGAATAACGCCAGTATCTAGGCTTTGTCTCCACAGAATGTGGAGGGCCTGCGATAGTGGTTTTTACAGTTCTTGGTGAATATGGAGTTCCATGAATCAGGACCTGGTGCAGAGTGCATAGGCATACTGTTTATGGCTTCTTCAAAATCCAGTGGGGATAGGGTGACGTCTGATATATGATTTGATGTTGGTATCATATCCATGAAAAATTCATTTGGGTTATCAATCTTTAGTGTGTTTAGTGGCTCGCTGAAAACAGAGTCGTACTGTTTCCTCAGTATCTCGCTCATTTCTTTGTTGTCATCAGTGAAAGTTCCATCTCCCTTTCGCAGGGGCCTGATACTAGATGTGGTTTTTTATCTGGATTTTGCATAGGAGAAAAAATATTTTGGATTTCTCTCTATTTCACTGATGGCCTTTTGCTCTCTTTGCCTCTCCTGGGTTTTGTATGATTCTTGTAGCTTTAGTTCAATTGTTTCTACTTCTTTACCTAACCTTCTTCGCCGTTCTTGAGATAGGGTGCGACTATCAAGTTGTTCCGCGATTTGTTTTCCTCGCCTATAGAGGGAATGACGTTCCCGTTCCAATCTGCATCTCTTCCTCTTTTTTTTCTTAGGGGTATGCAGTTTGAGCATATTTCTAATGCTTCTGAGCTTATTTTTTCCAGGCACTGGTTCAGGTTTGCATTTTCTAGCTGTTCTTTCCAGGTTATTTCTGTGAAGTCTTGGTTTATTTGCTTCCAGTTTATCTGTTTATTATTGAAGTTGAATTTGCTGAAATCTCCTCCACCGGGAATCGGGACTGGTTTTGAAGGTATGTATGCTTTGTATGCATACGTATGTATGGTTGTATGCTTACAACTGGCTTATAATTTTCTGTACTTTATAGTTCTTTGGGTAACTGGGTAATAGACAGTTTTGGTATTGTTACTTTCTACTTTTAATTAAATGTCTGTGTACTTTTTAACCTTAATTCACTGATAGTGTTATGGTTAATGCTATAAAGTTACTTCTGTTTTGTTTTGCCTAGCCAGGGACTTTGAGGTACATAATCCCTATTCAGTGCACCACCCTTCATGTGAAATTGCTTATAAAGCCATCATTCTAACTCTAGAATGTTGTGCTTACTGATGTTGGAGCTCCATTGATTTGCCACTCGTGGACGTATTTTGAACCACTGTGCCTATTATGGGTCATGGCAGTTGGCAGGAAAAATATTACGCTGATGCTACACAGTTTGGGCCGCTCCAAGCAACAGCCTGTTGGACCAAACTCTCATGAGGCGGGGCTTGGGGGAGTAGAGCAACTCCCAGAATCCCATCAAGCAGGTATCAAGATTATGGCACACTTGTGGGACCTTGACAGATTCTTGGCAGTCACTGAAGATGGTCTGACCATAACAACATAAAAAGATATTCAAGTCAAATCCAGTGATATCAAGTGCCATTGATATCACAAGTGTTCACCAATAAGATGATCTTAAGTGTCTTAACTACCAATCACAGCAAACCCTGTTATTCTTGACTTAAGGGGGCATATTACGGGTTTCGTAAAAAATTTTCAATTTGTTTATAAATTTATTTATGAAATGGTTATAGAAAGAGCTGCAACTGGTCCAAGTTTCAGCATCACACCCTAAACAGAAAAGGAGAAAAAAAATACACAACGTATTATGCAACGAATTTTCAACATTTTCAAATAATTTCAGGGAACACATGTCAACTAAAATCATTTCTATAACACTCAGATATTAAACTAACACATAATAATAGATTGTATTGATCAGTTTTATCAAAGAAAGTGTTTAGTGCAATAATATAATTTTTCAAAGTTAACCTTCCAAAAATATGCAATATATGATGTTTATAAATTTTTATAAAATCAACAAATGGACTTTGGACTAAAATGTCTCAATAGGTTTGTAGAAGCACAAACTCTACATATAAGGTGTAATTTGCATGTAAATTGATTGATAAATGAAAGCTGAGAAACGCCTTGAAGTTGTAAATTACTTTCCAGAGTAAAATAAAGATCCAAGTTCGGCCACCTGTAGCTGAGCTTGACTTCGGCAGATTTCGTTCATAATTGGCACCCTTGCAGATAGGCATCCATTGAGCAAGGTGTGCAAGTTTCATGCAAATCCCTTGATAACAAACGAGAAAAAAAAAAATTCCCAAAAAAAAAAAAAAAAAAAAAATTTACATATAAATATATTGCACATACATATTACAATTATTACAAGAGTTTGTGCTTCTACAGCACATAGTAGACATTTTAGTTGACACATGTGTTTCCTGAGATTATTTGAGAATGTTGAACATTCGTTGCATAATACGTTGTGTATTTTTTTTCTCCTTTTCTGTTTAGGGTGTGATGGTGAAACTTGGACCAGTTGCAGCTCTTTCTATAACCATTTCATAAAAAAATTTATAAGCAAATTGAACAACTTTTAATTTAGTGTGATAAGCCCCCTTAAAAATGTTTTCACTCAGCTTATCAGTATTCAGTGGCCTGAATCCTCTAGCAGGATAGTTAGGAAATGCAAAATAGACCCCATTGAAGAGTGGAGGTGCCATTAGCACAATTGGAGAGCACCTTATGAGCACCATATGTCCATGGCTTTTTAATGTTCTCCCAACAGATATAAAAATTTTATGGAACACAAGTTAGTGTTCAAGAAAAAAATTAACAGAAGTTTGTCCAGGAAGTGCTGGGTTGTAATGGATGTGTGGGCTCGGAGGGTGACCCAAACAGACTTTTAGACAAGTTATCACAAAACAATAATAATAATAATACAGAACAATAATGTTCTGTATATGTCAGAGGTCCACGGTTGTTAAACATCCTCCCAGCGAGTATAAGAAATATTGCCGGAACAACTGTGGACATCTTTAAGAAAAAACTAGATTGTTTTCTAAAAAAAAAAGTGCCAGACCAACCGGGCTGTGGTGGGTAGGAGGGCTTGCGGGCCGCTCCAAACAACAGCCTAGTGGACCAAGCTCTCACAAGTCAAGCCTGGCCTTGGGCCAGGCTTGGGGAGTAGAACTACTCCCAGAACCCCATCAAGCCATTATCAAGCAGGTACAAGCATGGGCCCCTTACCAGGTTTGGAGAGTAGTATTCCCAGAACCCACTTCAGGCATTGGTGCTTCCCAGTAAATTATAGAGTTGGGGTACTTTCAGTTCAAGTTATCCTTGTCCCCCTCTCTATGGATCTGGGGCTGGCCTGCCATCTGCGAAAGATGTAGGTGAGCAAAATCGAGGGTCGGAGAGTGTGACTGCTGGTTTCAGTCCAACATGATGTGAACGAGGGTTATCAAGACTGGACAGTTCTTTCTTGCAAGCAAAGAGAGTTTCTTTACACATCTGGAGCATACATATTGGATAATTCATTTTTTCCCATGGAT